GTTACGACAGCATGCCATCAGCAGACGATAGGCAAGTCGAAGAGCGTACAACTGCCACGGCGCAGTTTGCCAGTGGCAGAGTGGAGCTGGGCGTTCCGTGGATTGAGATGGAGCCTCGCGTTTCCTCAAATCGTCCGCAAGCCGCACAGCGACTGCGCAGCCTGGAGCACTCGCTAAGCCGCCGTCCGAGTGTACGGCAACGGTACCATGACGTTATGCAGAGTCATCTCGCCAAGGGATACATCCGCGAAGTACCCAGTGAAGAGGTAGACGGTGACGGCGACAATCAATGGTTTCTCCCCCACTTCCCAGTGGTTCGAGATGACAAAGAGACGACCAAGGTGCGGATAGTTTTCGACGCCGCAGCCAAATGGGACGGCCGCTCTATCAATGATGAGATGCACAGTGGCCCGGCACTTCAGACAGACCTCGTCAAGGTCCTGATTTGTTTCTGCTCTGAACCGGTGGCACTCGTAGCTGATATTTCGGAGATGTTCTTGCAAGTGATGCTCAGGAAATCTGACCGCAAGTACCACCGTTTCCTCTGGCGGTTCGACGACGGCCCGGCACACGTCTATGAGTTTCAGCGCGTGGTGTTTGGTATCAAGGCCTCTCCGTACCTGGCAGGCAGGGCGGTCCAAGAAGTGTTGCGTCGGTTCGGCCCTGAGTATCCAGCACACACTATAGAAGCTCTGGAGCGCAGCCGTTACATTGATGATCTGCTTGCGTCGAGGCCCACAGTCGCGGACGCTGTGAAAAGCCGCTTGCACTGTCAGGAGATCCTAGCTCACGGTGGATTCCACTTACGCAAGTGGTTGTCTAATAGCGCAGAGGTCGTGGAAAGCGTTCCGGTAGCAGATCGCGCAGCGTCCACAGTGGTCAACGTCGGCGACCATGTGCACTGCACCCTGCCAACAACGAAGACACTGGGAGTAACCTGGTCAGCAAAGCAGGACACCTTCACCTTCCGCTTCCAGCAACCTCAGCTTTCAAAACTCACTAGACGATCCGTGCTCAGTGGTGTCGCGACAGCTTTCGACCCACGTGGCCAGATTTCGCCATTCATCATCCGAGCGCGCGTCCTACTGCAGGATACGTGGCTTCTCGGCCTGTCTTGGGATGATGAGCTCCCGTCTACAGTAGCCACTAAGTGGAAGGCGTGGTTTGGCGAACTGCCAGCCCTAGCAGCGATAGCAGCGCCGCGCAGCTTCAAGGCATCAGCAGCATCCTCCGTATCCATCCATACCTTCACGGACGCGTCCGACCGCGCTATTGCAGCAGCCACCTACGTTCGAGCTGAAGATAGCTTGGGTGCGGTGCGAGTGACACTCGCCATGGCCAAGGCCAAGACAGCGCCGACCCGTCGTCAGACCATTCCACAGCTGGAGCTTCGTGGAGCAGTGCTCGGACTGAGGATCAGCAGCGAAGTCGGTGATGCTTTGGATGTGCCAATTTCCGAACACACCTTCTGGACCGACTCGATGAATGTTCTGGGATGGATCCGGTCGCACAGCCGTCGATTCAAGGTGGACATTGGCAACCGCGTGTCCGAGCTGCAACGTGCCACCAAGCCGTCCCAGTGGCGACATGTTCCCGGAAAACAGAATCCGGCCGACAAGGGTACGCGTGGGCTAGCAGCGGAGGCATTGGCTAGTGATCAAGAATGGTGGCATGGTCCCAAGTTCCTAGCCAAGAGCGCAGACACTTGGCCACAACAACCGCAGCCTGTCCAAACAGTGGACCTCCCTGGAGAGGTTCAACGAGAATCAACGTTCATGGCTGAGAAGGGTTTCACAAGTCCCGCCGTGGTGGAACGACTCCAACCGGAGCAGTATTCAAGATGGCAGCAGTTGGCTCGCATAACAGCGTGGTGCCAACGCTTTATCTGCAACTGCAGACGCCGCGTTGCCACGAAGGGGGAAGGCCATCCCCACGGAGAGAACGGAGAGATCAACGAGGTCATTGCACTGTTGCAGGTGACAACAGCCACATCAGTGCTTGCAGTGCCAGAGTTAGCAGCATCAGAGCTACAGGCAGCTGAGGACCACTGGGTACTACAAGCACAGATTGATGTACATGGTTCCACAAGGCATCAGTTAGCAGCCGGCAAGCCAGTGCAAAAGCAAGACCCACTTGCTGCACTAGGACCAGAGCTCGACTCGTCGCGGAAGCAGCTCTTGGTGGTGGGAGGCCGACTGAAAGCATCCAGCCATCTGCCCTATCGGTTGCGTCAGCCAGTCATTCTGCCCGCTAAGCACACTGTCACTAGGTTGATTGTTGAGCAGCAGGACCGAATCTGCAAGCATGCCGCTGGTCCTCAGCACCTCCTGGCCAAGTTGCGCGAGAGGTTCTGGATAGTCAACGGTCTGTCAGTAACGAAAGCTGTGCGCCAAGCTTGTGTTCGATGCCGGCGACAGTGGAGGCCACCAGCATCCCAGATTATGGGTCAGCTACCCGACATCCGTACGGCTGGGTCCCTGCAGGTATTCACTTCATGTGGCATCGACTTTGCGGGCCCATTTCAGACCAAGCAAGGGCGGGGCAGGGCCCAGGCAAAGCGCTACCTATGCCTGTTTACCTGCCTGGAAACGAGAGCCTGCCACCTGGAGTTGGTATACTCTCTGGATACCGATGGTTTCCTCTTGGCTCTGACCCGGTTCACCAAGCGGCGCGGCACGCCCCAGCAGATAGTGACAGACAACGGTACGAATTTCTCAGCAGCAGCCCGTGAGTTGCGAGAGGCAGTTGAGCAGCTTGACCGCCGCGAGATTGCCCGAAGCCTGGCGGACAACCGAGTGAGGTGGCGGTTCAACCCTCCTCGCGCGCCACACTTTGGTGGTGCATTCGAAGTAATGATCAAGGCCGCAAAGAGAGCCCTAAACTCGACTCTTGCCAAAGCTGACATCACCGATGAGGAGCTGCACACGGCGTTTGTCATTGCCGAAGAGCTAATCAACTCCCGCCCGCTGATGCCACTGTCTGCAGACCCCGAGGATCCGGAAGCCCTCACACCACAGCATTTCCTTGCTGGACGATGCAGCCCTCCACTGCCTATTGAGCTTGCCGCAGATGCAAGGGACCGGGTACACCCCCGAGAGCGCTACGTCTTAGTTCAACAGCTCCTGAAGGAAGTGTGGACACGGTGGCTCACGGAGTTCGTGCCATTGCTCAACGCTCGCAAGAAGTGGCGCCGGACGCAGAAGAATGTGGAAGTTGGAGACGTCGTACTATGCATGGAGCCTGACACGCCGCGCGGCAAGTGGCCCATGGGCAGAGTGTGCAACACGTTCCCCGGCCCTGATGGCTGCGTCAGAGTAGTTGACGTCCGCATGCGTGGCAAGACCTACCGCCGATCCATCCACCGGCTCATTCCAATCCTCGATATGGCGGATAATTGAGCAGCCTGGTGACATCGGCCGGTAACGCTATCTCAGCTAAGTATCGCAGTGTGACTCTCGAGCAATGTTTGCAATAGCTATGTAAACTGCATGAGTGTGACACTTGTCTTGTTTTGTTTTTCTCCATCTATTTCTCTTAGTTTGTTCGAGACGGTTCTGATCAATACCTGTAGGTTCTAGTTTGCTCGCTTTCATAGCACATTACTGCGGTTACCTCGTACTCACCATTCGTGAGTGAAGGGGGAGATGTTCAGTTGCGGTCTGCTTTCTCGTCCTCTAGCTGTGATCGAGGCCATTGCGGTCATACTGCCTGTTCTCTGTGTTGACCTTAGCTCTTGGTAATATCGCTATCCATGTATGCGCTCAGCTTGGTTGCACCTCGATGCCTCATGTAATAATGTATTTGGTCGACGAGCTCCGATTTAGGTTCCGCTCGAGTCAGTTTCGCTGAGCCAGCTTTGCACCGTGTAGCTTTTTTGGTTGTGTTCTTGTGCGTGCGGCATAAGGTTTTTGCGGTACCTTTTGTTTGGCTGCGCTGTAATGCATTGAGAGAGTTTTCTTTAGTAGTATTTAGAACAGAAAGAGTCGGTGCTACTCAGTCTTCAAGAAGAACAACAGTCTTGTGAACAATGATACAGTCTTCTGCACCAGTGTGTGTGCGCGACAGAACATGCAGCGTGTAGTGGATAGTGATTGTCGCAGCATTGTCTTTCTCCGAACTGTGCATCTCTTTCATCTCTATTATAAGTTTATAACTGTGATATGCGCATGATTTGAACTTCCACCGCACACAGCTGCACCGAGTCCTTGGCTACACTAAATAAAAATAAAAACCTCTCTAAACCAACCTCTCCAAAAACTTAAAATACTTTCCAAGTTTGTGCAAAGGAGGGCATCTTCAGGGATACGCGCATGCTCGACGTGAATACATCGGTCCTTGTCTTGTCCTGCAATGGACTCCTGCGTGGCTTGCATGCCCAACACAACAGAAGTGTACACAATAAATATGTGCGCCTGTACATCTACTACAGACACACTTATTTGCCAGTGATGGCAAGCTAGCTGTGTACATGCACACCTAGAACTACAGGTAGCTAGCTACTGTATAAGCAGAAACAGAAAAAAGTCGTCAGGAATTTAACTTTGTCTTTCGTCCAAGGACCTTTTGGACTAAATTAAATGCCGGACCAATGCCGATTCGTCCAGATTTTCAATACAAGCTTATGATCCATTGACTAAATTTTCAACCGGACGACCTCCCTTTCTTTGGGGTTTGACGAAATTATTGACCGACTAAATGTTCTGCCTGTACAGTACGCGGAGACAATCTGATCACCACAGCGTGTCACCTGTGCAAGCCTGCTTGTCAGAGCTGGCAGGTCAGACCAGCAGCTACTCTTGTGACCTGCCCTGTCCGTGGTGGTGGTGGTGGTGGTGGTGGTGGTGGTGGTGGTGGTGGTGGTGGTGGTGGTGTCTGCGTGCCGGACTTCTCCTACACTCAGACATCTGAGTGTAGGAGACTGATGTCAAACAACACAAACTAGCCATACTGCTTACTGCAAAGCAAATCGTCAGCCTATTCAACGACTGCAGCACAAAGGGTTTCGAGAAACTAGGAAATCATCTCTTTAGCAACTTGTAAATATTCGGAGAGAGAAAAAAAGGGAGGTGTGTGTACTTGGAAGTAAGTTACTGATAATTGTTGACAGTGGTAGATCTCTACTGAGCCATGCCTCCCGGCACCTGTGTGTTGTGTGGTGCTGACAACAAACGAACAAAGCTGGTGTCTTGTCTTCATTCGCTGTGCTTGCTATGTCTGGAGCAGTGCATTGAAGACAATGGTTCAATCCTCTGTCCAAGTTGTAAATCGACAACACCACTGCAGCAAGCTGGATGTCATCCAGTATCGTCTTTGCCAGACAGCTGTTTGAAGACAGTGGACACCAGCAACGAAGGGTCAGTTCCATCCTGTGATGAGTGTGTGGACGTGGAAGTTGCTGTGTCCCGCTGTCCTCAGTGCAGCATATTCCTATGTGATGCACATGTTCAAAATCACAAACGCTCGAGGGCTACCCATGAGCATGTGCTACTAGCATTGGATAGGTCTGCTGAGGGTGCTACTGCTTCACCTGCTCAACCAGCACACAGATGTGCTCTGCACACGACAAAGACTATCACACACTTCTGTCACGAGTGCCAAAAGCTGATGTGCAAGCGATGTATCGATACTAAAGCACACGAGCTGCACAAATATGCACTTGTGCCTCTTGGTGAAGCTGCAGAGAAGATGAGACAGTCGGTGAGAGAGAATCTATCCACTTGTGTATCTGGTGAGAGTGTTTGTCTTGAAACTGCAAGGGAAAAGGTCAGATCCACCATCACTGCTCTCAATGATCAGATAGAATGTGCATCTGAACATGCCACGGAGTTCTTTCAAGGTATGATGGAAGCGGTGAAGGCCAGGGAGACCAAGGTTCTGGACAAATTGGATCAGTTGCGTGCCCAAAAACTAGCACCATTGGAGAACCAACTGCAGAAGCTGGAGGAAGGTATTTCACAGACTGACATGGTGACAAGTATTCTAGACTCAAGCCATGATGATATGAGCTTCATGAGAATGTTCAAATGGCTCAACACGGTCAATACAACGGCAAGACAAATTGCCCAGAGCCATTCAGAACCTTGCACGGTACAAAGCATCGCGTTCGCAGCAACAGAGACGCACGGTGTTCTTGATGGCATTGAGAAATCTGGAGTGTGTGTTGACATTGCCGAGAGCACACTTATCTGTCCTGAGGAGGCTAACATCGGCTGTGACACCACAATCAGTATCGATATGAGTGAATTTAGTGAGAACCTAACCATCAGCCCGGATCAACTTTCCAGGATGAATATCAACATAGCTGTCACGGATCCGGACAGTGAAACAGTACCGTGCCGCATATCACAACCATCGCCCAATGGCCAGCGTATTGAAGCTAACTGCCGTCCTATTCATACGGGTGAGCACACCGTTTCGGCCACCACTGTCGGCACCCATTTGAAGAGTAGTCCGGCAACGTTTAATGCCCGGCCTAGCTTCGAAAAGGTCTACTGCCACAGTTCGTTTGAAATTAGCAACAACAATCAAACACTCTGCAAAACCACAGATGAACGATGTTATCGATATGCGTACAGCGTTCCTATATTGAAGTGCAGAGGCTCATCTCAAGTCAGGTTCTGTATTGATCATTACACTCCAATTGGCAACATCTTCATTTGTGGGAACTTCTCTGATGATCCGGATCCTAGTGTACGTCCTAAAACTAAAAAATGCTTCGGATGGTTTGCTGGACGTGACAAGTTTGCCACATTCACCGGCACAGAGCTAGGCCAGCCATGGCAGTCGGGTGATGAGATCACACTCACTATCAACCATGATCAACACATCCTTACAGGTCACCATCATCGCACCGGTATCATAGACGTGCTGCGTAATTTGCCCACCGGTAAGATGCGCTGGTGTGTTTGCGTGGGCGACATCGGAGCTAAAGTCACCATGATGTGAATATAGTTGTATCGTTGCATGGAATATTAACACAACATTCACAGGAGATGACCCCTTCCACACACGCACGCACACACATACACAAACACGCAGGTGCGTACCTCGCGCATCTGTGGTGTGGTGGCCATGTATCAGACTGTACATCTGTGATGTGGTGACTATGTACGATTGGCAACGTCATAGGTGCCATTTTGCCTATTTAGACTATGTAGTACTTATGACGCACCTTCGCTGGTGTGGCGACCGGACTACGCTGACTTAGCATGAGCTACGCGCCTGCACACGCGCGCGCGTGCGCACGCACGCACACACACACACACACACACAATAATACAGCCCTGACTTGTTCTTTCCGATCGTGTTTACGCTTCACAGGTGTGGAGATGGACAAGGAAAGACCTCTTCCACCCACGTGAGCATAGGATCTTGATTTACCATACTGATTGTGTATGTGCTTTGCAAGCCTGACTTGTTTCCTCCTTCTGATTTTCTTCCTTTCGCTGGCCAGTCTACATAACATGTTTTGCCACGCAAGCACAAACAACCGGCTTTTGATTTCCATGTGCCGCTGCATTTACGGTTCCTCAGCACGATCAGATTTGTATGCTACCCCGAAGCGCCGTCAGTCCTGTATTATCTAATGTGTGATGTTGCTACAGTGCAACTTTGTTCGTCTGGGCTCACTCTGGACAGAAGCCCTTCACAAAGGGCTCAGATAAGAAAAGGGACGCTGATTGCCACGTCATTCTGATCGTTTTCAGCATCTGATGCATAGGTAGCATTCCATGGCAACTCAACATGACAAAACACTGTTACACACGCAGCGCACATATTTGTTCTGGAGGAGTTGCATTATTTCGTAAAAGGTACTTTTTTGCGGTTATGAGTATTTATCTTGTAGATCTAATGTGGCAGTATACTTCTAACGAAATTACACGACACACATGAGGCTCAGTCAGACGGAATTTTCTGCATCCTTGGGGCGCACTCATACTGCGACAAGAGGCTTGTATCCATGCGACAGCACACAGCAGCAGAAACGGGATGGTTCGGCTCACAGTACGTCCAAAAATACCGAAGAGAGGTGTTGCGCTTTCAAATTTCTGATTTGTGATCTGTGAACTCTTTCCTGCCATGTGGTTCTGCTATGTACAGGTAGTTATAATATTACGACTACCTTTTCTGCCATGTGTTCCCTCTTCCCTTCCTTCATGACAATAACTCCACTCCACTCCTCTCACAATCTATCACTCAGGCGCGTACGCAGGGTTACCTCTAGGGGGTTTCCAACCGAATCACAACCAATGAGTTTAACTCTTTCTCAGAGCCACAGGAATTTTTCAAAATCTGCATATTTTCGTGTTCCTACTTCAAGATCCTTGGATCATAACTTCGGTTCCACTCACTCAATCTTCATAATCTTGGGCTGCCTGGAATTAAAAAGGTAGGTAACCGGGAGAGGAAGAGAATGAGGTCAACCATGATAGCCAGGACTATCGACACTGTACAGCATTGTATATCAAGCGCTAGAGACTAGTGCAGTGACGGTGCGAAAAATGCCTCAAACGCACCCTGCTCGAGCTATTTCGTTTTTCTCGATCGCAGAGTTTCAATTTTCGCTGTGTACTCTTGAGAACATCACAAGTGAAACCCGTGCAAATTTGAGCAAGCCAGGGTGAAAAAAGCCTCAAATTCTCAACACTCATGCTGCACGCTTTTGAAATTGCCGAGATCGCGGCTCAACTTCCAAATGATGTATCTCAAGAACCATTGGTCGCAGCGCTTGGCGTTGTTTCAACCAACAGCTGAGAGTTTTCTCTTCGACTTGAATATTGGGATCTTTGGATTAGATCAAGATTTGACTGAGTTACGGTCTGTTGAGGTTTTGCATTCTTGTCGCATCGATCGCGTGCCCTACCAAAAATGCCAAAAAAAGTTTCATGTTTGCACCATTTGGGGGTTTCCGGGCAACGGGCTTGCATGCCCAACACAACAGAAGTCTACATAATCAAATATGTGCGCCTGTACATCTTCTACAGTCACACTTATTGCCAGTGATGGCAAGCTAGCTGTGTGCATGCACACCTAGAACTACAGGTAGCTAGCTACTGTATAAGCAGAAACAGAAAAAAGTCGTCAGGAATTTAATTTCGTTGTTCGTCCAAGGACCTTTTGGACTAAATTAAATGCCGGACCAATGCCGATTCGTCCAGATTTTCAATACAAGCTTATGATCCATTGACTAAATTGTCAACCGGACGAACCCCCTTTCTGTGGGGTTGAAAGAAATTATTGACCGACTGAATTTTCTGCCTGTACAGTACGCGGAGACAATCTGATCACCACAGCGTGTCACCTGTGCAAGCCTGCTTGTCAGAGCTGGCAGGTCAGACCAGCAGCTACTCTCGTGACCTGTCCTGTCCGTGGTGGTGGTGGTGGTGTCTGCGTGCCGGACTTCTCCTACACTCAGTCATCTGAGCGCCAGAATGTAAGCTTCACTTAGCACCTAGTCACACGAGCAACTCAAACTTCTTTTTCTGTTTTTTTTTCCCCCGCTACAACTATTGTCACGATATTCCAGAAACCAGGTACTAGTAATTATCTCTTTGCCCACTTGCAAGAGTTTCAATAGAGAAAGAGGGAAACGGTGTTGTGCACTAAGTCTTCATAATGGTAGATCTCTGATGAGCCATGCCTCCCGGCACCTGTGTGTTGTGTGGAGCTGACAACAAACAAACAAAGCTGGTGTCTTGTCTTCATTCGCTGTGTTCGTCATGCCTGGAGCAGAGCATTGAAGATAACGGTTCAATCATCTGCCCAACTTGTAAAACGACGACACCATCACAGCAAGCTGGATGTCATCCAGTATCGTCTTTACCAGACAGCTGTTTTAACAGCAAGGTTAGCAGTGACACCTCGAGGTCTGTTCCATCCTGCGATGAGTGTGTGGATGTGGAGGTTGCCGTGTCCCGCTGCACAATATGCAGTACACATCTATGTGATTTCCATACTCAAGGACATACTCGTTCAAGAGCTACCCATGAACACGTGCTACTAGCATTGGATAGGTCTGCTGAGGGCGGTACTGCTTCACCTGCTCAACCAGCACACAGATGTGCTCTGCACACGACAAAGACTATCACACATTTCTGTGACGAGTGCCAAAAGCTGATGTACCGTTTTTCTCCTAACACTGTACATTCTACTAACCTCTGATGACATAACAAGATTACACCCAACAATTAGAGTTTTGTGAAAGATCGATGACGATGGACGGCTACTTACACGCCTTATTCAACAATTCACTCGCTCAGCTAGCATCCATAGCCCTACCCTACCTCCACTCTCGACAAGCATGCATTTTTTCCAATCAACTGTTCTTCACAACCCATAGCTCCACATGGAAATTCTGTCATTATTCGTGAATTGTTATATCCGCAGTCGTTATTACGGAGGATTATCAAGACGAAATTCGCATTCGCGTTCGCTCTCCAAGGAAAGTTGAACTCAATGACGGAATTCGCGTTATGAGAAGGATTAGCAAACAGAATTCTAACATGCATGACGTTGACACGATGTACATTGTGTACAGACAGTACAGCGTGGTAAATTTATGACTGCCCTGACACGAATCCGCGATTCGTGTTCCGACTACTTTTCCGAACGAAAAATGCGAACGTTCGCAATCCAGTTCGCGAACTGAAAAATGTTAACGAATGCGAATTTCGTCTTGCTAATCCTCCGTACTAGCAAAGTTGACTGTAGATACAATCAACACAGCCACAGTACAGTGTAGTACGATACGCATGGAGGTTAGCGGCCAGAGCCAAGGCCGACGAATGTCCCGTCACGAAACACAGAGCTTCACGCTCCGACTTGTACGGCGCCAGCACCCTGAGGCGTGGTACGATCGTTGCCCCACGTGTCTTAGACTTAACTCATTGCTGAGTCCTACACAGCGAGTCCCCAATGGATGAAAACAACAGAAGAGGGCAGTGTAATGCCTTGCTCATCCGCTCCCATAGCAACACTTACATTCAACAGATGCGGCTATTACAGAGTTATGCCACAGTTGTCCTGATAGAGCTCATACAATGACAAATTATGTACTACCCTCATTAGTGCCATCTGATGAGCACTACCTCCTGTACACGCAACTCTCCAGATCAGAACTCATGAGCTCTGCTCCCATATCCCGAGCATGATACAATACAGTACTTTCAATGGCTTGAACGTGCCCTCTGACTCTGTGAGTATCTCTACACATGAGCAAGTATAGAGGTTATGTGATTACATCATCAGTTGAGATGCGTTGTATGCAATTACATCATCACTTGAGATGCGTTGTATGCAATTACATCATCACTTGAGATGCGTTGTATGCAATTACATCATCAGTTGAGATGCGTTGTATGCAATTACATCATCACTTGAGATGCGTTGTATGCAATTACATCATCAGTTGAGATGCGTTGTATGCAATTACATCATCAGTTGAGATGCGTTGTATGCAATTACATCATCAGTTGAGATGCGTTGTATGCAATTACATCATCAGTTGAGATGCTTTGTATGCAATTACATCATCAGTTGAGATGCTTTGTATGGAGAAGTCAAGCTGTGGGGCGGCAATGCGCTGGCTGAAGCGAATCCACAGACTCAGGCTGTACACTAAGCGCTCCTAAGCGACTCCACTGCGCAGCCACCATATCCTTCACACAACCTCTGTAGCTATAGCTATACATCTTCTACAGTTCCAATAGAAAGAACTGAACCGCACCGCTAAAACTATCCTGGACCTTTCCTAGAAAAGGCCAAATTCCAGAGGCCTTTCGACGCATTCCCTGCTCAAAGTGCCAATTTGTCCAAGCATTTGAACATGTCATATTATGATTTTTGGCACATGGGACATTGGCGTGCATGAACATAATGGACTGTAGATCCTGTTCAGTCGAGAGTAATCTCATTGCGGGAGAAAAGGGGCTTTTTCTCTCCATGTCAGCTTCTCGATTCCTGATGGCAAGCTGCGTGTGTGCAGGCCTATAACAAGCCTGGCGCCAGGTGACAGCCTGGCTGACATGGCTTGTCAAAAGCACGCATGCCTGCTGGTGAAGGTCAGGCCAGTCCAGAGCAGCGACTCGTGTGACCTGCTCACGGGTGCCTGCATGTCCACCAGCACTGGCACTCTCAGGCACTTGAGCACCTCTCTAATGTAGCCACCGCTATTGAATGAGGGAGTCAAAAAAAAGATTTTTACTACAACTTGTCAAAAGATTTTTACTACAAACTTCTTCACATAATTATCAGAACACCAGGAAATCAGGTCTCCAGCAACATGTAATTATTCGTGAAGAGAGAGAAAGAGAAGGCCTTTGTGTACTTGATAGTGGTGGGCCTATGCTGAGCCATGAATCCTGGCACCTGTGCGTTGTGTGGAGCTGACAACAAACGAACAAAGCTGGTGTCTTGTCTTCATTCGCTGTGCTTGCCATGTCTGGACCAATGCATTGAAGACAGCGTAATCATCTGCCCAACTTGTACAGCGACAACAGCACTGCAGCCGGGATGTGCTGCAGCAGTATCCTTGCCCGACAGCTGTTTCACAGGACACAGCAGCACCGGGGGGCTGAGGTCAGTTCCATCCTATGATGAGCGTGCTGACGAGGAGGTTGCTGTGTGTAATACGCAACTGTGTGATGAACGGGCTCAAAATCACAAGCGTCCGAGGGCTACCAAGGAGCACACACTAGAGTCATTGGATAGGTGTGCTGTGGGTGCTACTGCTTCTGCTGCTCAACCAGCACACAGATGTGCTCTGCACACGACACAGACTATCACACATTTCTGTCACGAGTGCCAAAGGCCGATGTGCCAGCTATGTATCGACACTAAGACACACGAGCTGCACAAAGATGCACTTGTGCCTATTGGTGAAGCCGCAAAGAAGATGAGAGGGTTGGTGAGAGAGAATCTATCCACTTGTGCATCTGGTGAGAATGTTGGTCTGGAAACTGCAAAGGAAAAGGTCACATCCACCATCACTGCTCTCAAAGATCAGATAGAATGTGCATCGGAACATGCCACAGAGTTCTTCCAAGCTATGATGAAAGCGGTGAAGGCAAGGGAGAGAAACATACTTGACAGATTGGATCACTTGCGTACTCAAAAACTAGCACCTTTGGAGAAGCAACTTCGGACCCTGGAGGAAGGTATTTCGCAGACTGACAAGGTAATAAGACTTGTGCATGCAAGCCATGACGACGTGGACTTCACGAAAATGGCCAATTGGCTGAACACGGCTATCACGACGGCAAAACAAGTTGCCACGGACCACTCAGAACCATGCTCGGCGGGCAGCGTCGTTTTCGCGGGGACCGACACGAGTGACGTGCTGGACGGCATCGAGAACTCCGGACTGTGCGTTGACCTTGTCGAGAGTACCCTGAGCAATCCGGAGAACACCATGGTCGACTGTGACACGGTGATCAGTATTGATGTGAGCCAGCATGGCACCAATCTACCTGTCAGTCAAGAGCTACTCTCAAGGATCGACCTGCAGGTGGCAGTCACGCACTCCAGCGGCAGAGCAGCACCATGTCCGCCACTACGGCGATCATCCGACGGCCAGTGTCTCCAGACGACTTGCTGTCCTACTCAAGATGGTCAGCACATCGTTTCAGCCACCATCGGCGGAACCCACCTGACCGGCAGTCCGGCAAGGTTTATAGCCGGTATTTGGCCGACGTTTGATGCCAACTACTGCCACGGCTCGCTCGAACTCAGCAACAGAAATCAAACGGTTTGCAAGGCCAAAGATGCCAAAGTGTACAAATACGCGTACAGCATTCCGATACTGGACTGCGGCGGTTCTTCTCAGGCTCAGTTTTGTATCAATCACTACACTCGGCCCGGCAATATCCTGATCTGTGCGATCTTCTGTGACGAGCCGGATCCAACAGTGCCTCCAAAACCTAGGACGTGTTTCGGATGGTTTGCAGGACCCAGCAGGTTTAAAACTTTCACCGGCGCAGAGCTAGGCCAGCCATGGCGGTCGGGTGATGAGATCACGCTCACTATCAACCATGATGAACACACGCTTACAGGTCACCATCATCGCACCGGTATCACAGAAGTGCTGCGCAATCTGCCCACCGGCAAGATGCGCTGGTGTGTTCATGTGTGCGACATCGGAGCTAAGGTCACCATGATGTGAGCAAGTTCAGAGCCAATTACTCCGCACCAGAAACAGACAACATGGACGACTGCTTCTGCTTCATAATTCAAAGTACTAGCACTCATGTACTACTGTATGAACTCAGTTGGTGAGCCAAGGAAATATTAAATTGAAAACACGGAAAACAGCGGGGCACAAATTATGCGTCAGAGTCAAAATCTGATCTGGTTGGTGGGCTCAAATGCATAACTTCTGCGGCGATGTTTTCCATATTTTAACAAGACTAGTACCGGTAGTTCAAACATGTTCCAACTCCACTGAGCCTACGCTATGTGAACGGATGTCCCGACAATAGGCCTGGGCCACCATGAGCGTTTCCATCACAATCGAGCTTCCTTCAGCGGGCAGAGCGGAGGCAGAAGTTGACAATTGTAATCTTTGCTACAGGTACAAAAAATGGTGGCCGGATACTTCAGTGACTATACCGCAAAATATCTTCCCCGTTGCCACCCAATCACATGTACACTCTTAGTAGTTGCTATTCAGAATCCTCTCCTTGCTTATACAATCCGTATAATGTTCTTCGTTTTCTTTGCTCAATGCCCACGCGATTTACTGATGACCACCGGAGAGGACTTGCTTTGAATCATAAATCTGGATTTAGTTCACTGCCGCAATAGATGTTTGTGCCACTGTATACTGGTGGAAACTGTCGTAATATTTCTTGCTCTACTAGTAAACAGTATCATCATTTACATAGAGAGCTTACGTCTAAGAACCAGTCTAAATCTTATCACACAAAACCGGACTTACCTGACCAGTCCAGACAGCATTATCGAGTGACTCGGCAAAGCGTTTGGCCTGCAAAGAGGAGGGGAAGAGAGAGAGAGAGAGAGAGAGAGAGAGAGAGAGAGAGAGAGAGAGAGAGAGAGAGAGAGAGAGAGAGAGACAGAGAGAGAGAGACAGAGAGACAGAGAGACAGAGAGACACAGAGAGAGAGAGAGAGAGAGAGAGAGAGAGAGAGAGAGAGAGAGAGAGAGAGAGAGAGAGAGAGAGAGAGAGAGAGAGAGAGAGAGAGAGAGAGAGAGAGAGAGAGAGAGAGAGAGAGAGAGAGAGAGAGAGAGAGAGAGAGAGAGAGAGACAGAGACAGAGAGAGAGAGACAGAGAGAGAGAGAGAGAGAGAGAGAGAGAGAGAGAGAGAGAGAGAGAGAGAGAGAGAGAGAGAGAGAGAGAGAGAGAGAGAGAGAGAGAGAGAGAGAGAGAGAGGGGGGGGGGGGGGGGGGTTACAAACACAGGAGAAGGGGGGGGGGGGCAGTTAATATGATACATGTAAATCAGAAAGTAGATTATGCATGCGATGCAGAACAGCCGGAAGCAGTTTGTGATGTGATTAGTCCGGCCATACCATATACCATAGCCTTTCAAAAGTTGTGTGTAGCATAGCGGGTACAAATAACCTCCGCAGCTATAAACCATGCGTTGATGGCCAACAAGCTGGTCCGGTGATGCCCTGACAAACCGGAAAGGTTCCTGCGAGCCTGCGATGCGTGATACAACCAAACTAAGGAACGCCATATATACTAGTACAGTATACCAATATTAAAAATGATATAAAGCACGCCAATGTTGATATTTCTGACTGTTTTGAACTAGCTCTAGACAAGACAAAATGGCTGGTGCTTGTGGAAAAATGTGCTGCGCTTGCGTAGTTGTTCTTACTGCGATACGTTCTAACAATATTGAGATGCCTTTTGTTGGCTCTTCTGCCTGGATTTCATTGACAGCTGCGTTAAGCCCATGGATCCTTCCATGAGTGACATGCGAACTGTAACTATTATTATACCTGATGGTTGTAGTTGTCTGGATTGTCGTAGGGCACCGCTGGCACAGGCCGCACATCAGCACCAAGTGTCTTTAGTGTCTCCACCTTCTCCTGTACAGGCACGCAAACAAGCAAACGTGGACATTCCTGATCATCGCCGGGAAAAGTAACATACGCACACACACACACACACACACACACACACACACACACACACACCTTGGACCTTGGACCTTGGACGCGCTGCCATATTCTGGCTATGCGGACCCCATGGGGGGTTGAGCAGGTTCGGAACAGTAGGGGCGATGACGGGATAGGTCCTGTGGTCTACTGAAACGCCGACCGCAATTGCAAACGATGCAGAAGGAGCTACGGTCTGTGTTGGTTGCTCTGGCCGAGCCACGGCTGCACTTGTGACGTTTCATGCCTTGGCGCGATAGCACACAGCGGTTGCAGCGGGCGCAGTGGAAGCTGCAGCGTTCGCAGGACATATTGTTTGTAACCGGTGACTCAAGTGTGTCAGAAGATGCCTCTGCTGGTGATGTTGCTGGCGAGCACTTGTGTCGGGCAAATCCACCCTTGCTCCGGAACCATCTGTCGCACTGATCGCAGTGACAGCTTCCTGGCTGTTGGCTTACGGGTAGGGCACGCGTAGCTGTACACTTGTGTCGCTTTCTGTCACTTACACGACTGAAGGAGCGGTGACAAGTTTGGCACACAACCGGTGATGGTCGAGGTCTGTTCTGCTTGTCTGGCAGACAACGGTAAGCCTGGCGCCATTTGGAGCGAGAAGAGGTGGCCACTTCATACCAGTCGTCAAGTGGTTTGACGTCACTCCGAACACAGTCTCGCCACCTTTTCCGCGGACCATGGGCGGGTCTCTTGTTTGGAAACGAACCGAACAGTAGAGCCTTCGGGATGCGCTCATCCTCCATCCTTGCCACATGACCAAGCCACTCAAGGCGACGTCTGCTGAGACGACACTCCATGTCCAAGGTATCTCCCCAGCGCTCCAGAACTTCAACATTAGTTATCCTGTCATTCCATACATCTTGACGACTGATGCCCAGAATGGTGCGGACACAACGGAGATGAAAGACAGACAACGCATGAACATCAGCCTGTAGCGGTACCCAGCATTCGGACCCATAGAGCAGAGTCGACAGCACACAAGCATTGTACACTGACCGTTTGATGGATATTGTCAGTGTTACATCGTGGAATATCGATTTCTTCAGAGCGCCAAACGCTTTGGCAGCTTGTGCAATCCGGGATGTGACATCATCATGACATCGTCCGTTGCTGTGTATGTTGGATCCAAGGTAACGAAAAGACGACACATGGGCAATCTCCATAGTTCGAATCGCGAGCGGCTCTAGATCGTCGTTAGAGATGTTGGGGCCAGAGACCATGAACTTGGTTTTGGTGGCACTGACGGTGAGGCCAAAATCGCTGCATACATCCACAAATACCTCCAAGGCTGAAACTGCGGCCTGGCGTGTCGCGGCCACAAGAGCGGAATCATCAGCAAACTGACACTCTGTCAGCTCCAGGGATCTATCACGGCGGCTACGGTGGTGGAGTAGCTTCCCATCTGGCTCGAAGAAGACCTTTGCGCCTACACCAGGGATAGGCTGCACGTGCTGGCGCCAACAATGCATCACTGCCCACATGAAGATGTTGAATAGGACAGGGGCCATGCAACATCCCTGCCGCAAGCCGTTCGTCACAGGGATGGGGTCAGCTTCAACATTCGACAGACGGAGAGTTGCGGTCATGCCGTCATGGAATGCACGGATAACAGCGATCAGCTTCTCGGGGACGCCAGCTTTTCGCAGTACTAACCACAGACACTCTCGCGGAACTGAGTCATAGGATTTCTTCAGGTCAATGAAGATGAAGAAACACTTCTGCTCATGCTCGTAGCTCTTTTCGATTAGTTGCCTTGCCGCAAAGATCATGTCAGCACACCCGCGTCCTGTGCGGAAGCCGCACTGAGAGTCTGGTAGCACATCGTCTAGTTTATCAGCAAGTCGGCTCTGGATGACGCGAGCAACCACTTTACCAATAACGTCGAGGAGAGCTATGCCTCGCCAGTTGTCACATTCTGCAAGGTTACCTTTCTTGGGGATAGGCACCAGCTGCGCACACACACACACACACACACACACACACACACACACACACACACACACACACACCACACACACACCACACACACCACACACACACACACGCACACACGCACACACACACACACACACACACGCACACACACACACACACACACATGCACGCACACACACTGTACTGTACTTGCTCACTGCGTGGGTCTCCCCGGGAGAGGGGAGAGAGACTCAAAAGGAATCTTAGAAAGATGATTCAATTGGCTATTGAACCGCCTAACGGCCGACACTCCCCTGAAATCCCCAAAACTTTGGGAGGACTTGAAAATGATCCCATTTATGAGCTCACCATACCTCAGTAAGTGGGTGAGGACAGGGTGCAGATTTTTCTGCACACACACGCACACACACGCGCACACACACACACGCACGCACACACACAAAAGCGTGCCTCAAGGTGAACATTGAAAAAGATTACTTTGCAGTTTGCACAAAGGAGCACACTGCGAGGAGGGAAGCGATTGATACCGACGCGACCACTCATCTTGCCCACTTACATAGGACTGCGTGTTGGGCATGTATATGACACACTTGTATCCCATCGCATTGCACAGATGTGCCAGGCCAATGCCTGCAGAACAAAGCAGAGAGCGACAAGGCAAGATGACAAAACTCCGTAAATTAAGCAGGCTGCAATTGAAGGTGCTGGTCGGAGAAGATTAGTTCTAGTAGTGAACTGGATAGGGGCGAGACTGTTCCTTACCGTAGCGGTGGTGTGGACTGACCACTGTAAAACCAAAAAGTTTTTAACGTTTTTGTAATTTTGGCATGATAACGTGCAGGAAGTTTAACGATGGCTACCTGGCCACCCAGAACATGCATTGATGTATGCGCATCTTTACACAGATATCTCGAAACGGGTCCGCGATAACGTTTCTTCAAATAGCGAAAAACAATAATTATTGGTCGTTAAAAAACGTTAGACTTTGTGGCTCATTAGACTTTTCATTTTTACAGTAGTTGACACCACTATACAATGCACATACAGTGATAGTCCTCCACCGGTTAAAGGAGAAGTGTACCCTGAAATAAAATTTTCACCAGTTGTAGTCTTCAGGGTGCTGAGTCGAATGGTTTTGGTCCGAGGAAGCCGAGACGCTCCCTTCCTCCTTTATTCCCAATCGAACTCGCGCACTTCCAACGAAACTGGGTGACTGCGCCCTACTAGATGGGGATTTGTATGCAAAATGTCACTAAAAGCGCAATTTCGTTCTTATAAAAGCGCGAATGACCGCGATTGGCCCATATGTTGTAGTCTTTTGGACTCTGAGTCGACTGGTTTTGGTCCGAAAAGGCTGCGATGCAGCGTTCGGCTGTTATTCCCAATCGAACACGGGTGAGTAAGCGGTCACGTGCTCATGCGTACACCAGTCGCCCGCAGGCTACAACTTTTACAACGTTCCTGTCACTCGAGTTGAACCTTTGAACCTTTGAGTTGAACCTTTGAACCTTTGAGTTGAACCTTGGTGTGAAAGTACCAGCAATAAGGGTAGCTAGTGTACACCGTCAGTAACGTCCTCTACAACAATTAATGTCTGGACAGCTGCCTGTAACACCCTTCTTCAGTCCCATCAGCTGAGCTCAGAGTAATTGGCCAAATTGATCACAATGAAGTCAAGTGAATATCAAACGAGCACACTGTCTACCTGTTTTGTTATTAGGCATACCATGCATGCACATGCGTATGCATACACACGTGCACACATGCGCATGTCCCCCCCCCCCCCCCCCCACAGACACACGCACACACACACAGATGGTGCTGACCTGTGTTTCCTGCCGTGCCTTCCACCACAGTACCGCCTGGCTTCAAACCTGGCAGAAGCAAGTCAGAGTGTTCAAGTTGAACCCCGACACAATGCACACAAAAGAAAACAGAGTACTGGCAATTGGGTACAAGACGGTAAGCAAAGAAACAGTAGACTACAATTGAGCAATCATCCAGGTATGCATGCCCGTCCAGTGCGTCCACCTCATACCCAGACCACATACATGTACAGTCAACTTCGCTTATATATAACGACACTCGGCGGGGCATCAAAAAGGTGTCCTTATTCGCGAAGTGTCGTTATACCCGAAGTCTCATTAATATATATGTATTACTGTGCTGCGCTGACGAGTCCACAAAGGATGAAACAGTTCTGTCCGCAGATTGAGTATTTCGCTCCTGCTCTTGTAGCAGTTGAGCACTCTTGCGTGGGGTAGTGCCTTTGCTGTTTGCGTCATGCAGAGCTCACTGACTTGTCAGTTTGAGCACTCTGGCAAGGTACGTTCGGGCCTGATTGGAAATTTTTATTTCCATTGCTATCAGGTTCGGCCTCATTTCCTCTGTGCTGCGCTGACGAGTCCACAAAGGATGAAACAGTTCTGTCCGCAGATTGAGTATTTCGCTCCTGCTCTTGTAGCAGTTGAGCACTCTTGCGTGGGGTAGTGCCTTTGCTGTTTGCGTTATGCAGAGCTCACTGACTTGTCAGTTTGAGCACTCTGGCAAGGTACGTTCGGGCCTGATTGGAAATTTTTATTTCCATTGCTATCAGGTTCGGCCTCATTTCCTCTGTGCTGCGCTGACGAGTCCACAAAGGATGAAACAGTTCTGTCTGCAGATTGAGTTTGTATTACTGTTGGATGGGACTTTGCTCTGGGCGTGGAAATTCTGTCGTTATTCGCGAATTGTCGTTATATCCGCAGTCGCTATTAGCCAAGTTGACTGTATCTAGTACCGTAGGCTCAACCGTGACCTAGTCCATCACATCCTACATGTACTACATACAGTGCAGCCGATCTTGTGCTGCCACCGTTGCACCATGGCTTGTAGTTCAGCTTACTTAAGACAAAAAACTCGTAGCTGTACAGATGAGGCCTAGATGGCCGAAACAGCTAGCTGTCTACAGCATTGGGTGCAGCCAATCTACACGTGTACATGTATCTGCACGCTCACCCCTTCCTTTCTGAATGTACCTACACTTAGGAATATTACACAGATGGAACACGATTGTGTTGTGTTGAGAGCTTCCCGCTCGATAGTACCCTCGGACAACGATAAGACATACGCCACTTTATAGTTTATACATTGGACATATCTCGCCCCTTTAGATCTGTGGCTGTACGGTTACAATTGCAGTTGTCACAAGCTACAAAAAAAGGGTTGAGAAGCACAACCAGTGTGGAACATTTTGCACGTGCCATACAAAGACATGGCTTAGTGGTGGCCAGGTGCGAGTGAACGTAAACATCGTGAGGAGAGTCACAAACTCCCGGGGGCGAGGTCGGTACGGCCGTCACCTGCACTTCCTCAAACCTACCTTCATAAGTCGCAAAACCCACCCATTTTGGTCATGTACATGTGTGTATGAAAACTATTTTTCAATTGTTCTCCTCTACATGTACCTCATACTTGGGTTTAAAAAAAGTTAGTGTCATATTAAAATTAAATCATTAATCTATAATTTTTCATCGTTCTGTGAGAGCCAGCCATTGGCTGGTGAGAAGGTATCATTGCCTGTTCGCTTGGTGAAGTAAAATGAAGAATACCATAATTATTATCATACCATACCTCTGCGCTCGGCGTCCTGGATCAGGTAGAGCGCTGCACGGTCTTTCACAGAGCCGCCGGGGTTGAGGAATTCAGCCTTGGCCAGTATCTCGCAGCCTGCAGAGCACGCGGAGAGCATGGAGATTACACGACACAGATATGAAACATTTTAAAGAAGAATCACTGGCGATGTATTAAATTATTTTCTTGTAGTCCTCACCACTGTACAGTGAAGTTTTGCAAGTGTGAACATCGGTGTGGAGTGACTATCGGTGAAGATGAACAATCATAATGATGACACAGTCTTGCCACTGTACAGTGAAGTTTTGCAAGTGTGAACATCGGTGTGGAGTGACTATCGGTGAAGATGAACAATCATAATGATGACACAGTCTTGCCACTGTACACAGGTGTTCTGTGCAGCGCAGTACAGGATGTACACAACTAGTCAAAGGTTTTTGATTTAAAACAAAAAAAGTCCCAAGCAAAGCTCTGTTCGATCTTCAGGTTCTGCACCTGACACTGTATGCATTGCGGAGATGACAGGTAGATAGCATGATAATCACACGCCGTCTCGTCATACCGTTTTTCCGGAGTAAAAGCTGCACTTTATTGAACACCACTAATTCACCCAATAAAGTCGGTGCCGCTTATACTACGATAGTCAAATTTACGGTGAAAAAGAGGGTAGATGTCTGTATTTCGTGCAAAAAAATCTAGGTGCGGCTTATACTCCGGAAAATACCGTATTTGTGTGAAAGTGTCTGCATGCATGCGAAGCACCCTAAACCGAACGAGGAGTTCTCACCGCATTCTGCACTGAACGTTGGGAGCCGAATGAGCGGTGTACTGCAAACAACAAGAACAACAACAATGTCGTGAGAATGAAGATTTGAAACGACAGCAACAGCAGCAGCAACAACAGCAACCCCAACAGCAACAACAACAACGGTATAAAGCGTCTACACTATACGCTATGCGTACGCGAGGCGAGAAACGACAAACCTCAGTAGAAGTCCGCTCGTGTCTCGCTTGCATGGCAAGTCCTGCTCAGTACAGGGACCATGCCGCTATCACCAAGTGAAACTCCAAGCGGTAGGTGTGGCTCACAAGCGGTGGAGGTGGACGGATTAGACACTCACCAGGTTACCCACCCGTGATCTGAATAGAACTTTTCATGATTACAATAGTTTTTCTCAGACTGAACACACACTGACTCAATGGTCTCCCCGCTGAAAAAAAACATCTTTGTTTTCACCAAAATTAATATTCGGGCCTGGCCCTTCACCAGGGTAAAGAATCAAACTAAAGCCAACCAACCAAGGAACGTAGCAGATAAACCGTGAAGTGTGATAGAGCAGTGAAGTATGGTGAGACTTGTGTCAGCTAGAGTGTAGGTGTGGAGAGTCTGAGGAGAGCTAGGTGAAAAGGTAGCAGGAGAGTAGTGCAGGGCTGTGTTTGTGTGAAGATGTCAGTGTGCAACGTACAGCAGGACCGCCGGAACAGTGACCCTGGATTGTTGCCTTTGTCTTTACACGCATGGCTCCGGCTCCACACCATTATAGACTTCACACTGACATCTACACACAGTGTACAGTGCTGCTCAACGAAATCCAGTCACGACACTCAAGTACGCGCGGGGCCGGTTGCGCAGCCCTAGATCTGCGAATACTGGGCTGCAAAATGGTGCAACTGCAAGGTGCAAACTTGAGTGATGCGACTGGATTTCCTTGAGCAGCACTGTACATGTGCATGTGATTGCACACACAAACACAGCGCCGCACTTGTCTACTGCTCTACTTTCACCAGCTGCCCTACTCTCAACACCCGCTGCACCCTAACAGCTGACCGTGACATTTCAAGTTTCTTTATCGCTCACTACTCTATCACACTTCACAGTTTATCTACAGCCAGTGCTGCTCAATGAAATCCAGTCGCGTCACTCAAGTTTGCGCCTTGCATCATTTCGCAGCCCAGTGTTCGCCGGGCAATGCCCGGCGCGTACTTGACGGTGACGCGACTGGATTTCATTGAGCAACACTGTAATACATTTCTAGGTTGTTCGCCTTCTTCATTTGATTGTTCACCCTGAGGCCAGGCCTGACAATTTGGTGAACTCGGAGAAGGATGTTTTGCAATAGAGAGACCGTTGAGTAGACTCAAGCGGGATTCACAGAAGCTTTTTTGCGATGCGACACGCGATGCGACAGGCGCGAAACAGGGAAAACCACAAATCGCAGCCATGTCGCACCCCACGCAACTGCCGCAACTGGGCCATCGCAGGCCATCGCAGAAGTTGAGCTTGGCTCAACTTTTGCGATGCGATGCGACAAGCGATTTGGCGAACGATGTTGACCTTTTCTACAGCAAAATTGTACAAAGGTTCAAGAGTTGCCTATGAATTTGTACAAGTTGTACCAAACCGCGCGTATATCATGGTGACGTAGCCAAATCAGCAAGATGTTGTCGCATCACTGACTTCTTCTGTGAATGGTATTTCGCGAGTTCGCATCGCACGCGTCTGTCGCAGATCGCGTCGCATCGCGTGTCGCATCGCAAAAAAGCTTCTGTGAATCCCGCTTCACTGTGGCCCTGTGTACGTGTTGAGACTGAGAGTAGTGTGCTAACGGCTGCATGCAGGGGACGCTATAAGCTAGAACCAGCCCTAGAGGAATAAGCAATACACACGCTGTAGGCCTAACAAACTGTGCCCTTACTTTCCAACTGTTCCCACAATGCCATCGCGAATGCCCAGAGACGCGCTCCGCGACAAGGCCGACTTAGCAGCTAAGCGGCACCCGGTACGGCGAGAAATAATTCCCGCCAGCATTTTGAAAATTTGGATACTGAGCTAGCTATCACCGGTGCACCAGGCTCGTATCTCCGGAAAGAAAAAATACTAACAAAATACCAGCATATGACGGTAGAAATATTTGGCTGGTTGTTTGAGTGAAGATCTTCTGCCGAAGCAATAAATGTAGTCCGATTCAGGAAGGATATGAAATCTACAACATCGGAATTGCAATTATTTGAAATTAATTGCAAAACAATAAATGGCCAAGCCCAAACTGAAAATGAGTGTTCCCATTCTTTTTTTGTTGGTCGCACACCTGCATTGGGAAATTCCCTCCTGAAAATTGTGCGTTTAACCCGATTTCTCGAGAAAGTCAGAGAAATCTTGTTCCTTTGTCCACGGTTTGCCCGGTCGATACTACAAACAGTGAGATTTACTGACGTGGAAATCGAATCTTCGCCAGTCTTTTCCAGCTGACACTCTCATGCCAAGCGCGACGAGCAGCTTTGGAGTTGGCTTGTAAATGTAATGGAGGGCGACGTTCATGCTTTCTAGGTGGTAGCCCGGACTCGTGTGGTATCCTAACAGAGCTGAAGGCACGATGGCGGCGTACTTCACCGATAGCAAGAAGGGCGAGGTGAATGAACTTCGGTGAGTTGGTTTGAAAATTCAAAGTTTCGTCAAGGCTCCACGTGAAATCATTTCGAGGATATGAATGTAAAATTCAGTGAAGAAGTCAGAATACGCTGCCATGTGCAGCTTTACTGGAAGGGCAATGCTTCTAGCTAGTCCATGATATTTAACATTGTGTTAAAATACTTACTGGTCGCAGTACGTGTAGCTGAAATACTGGTACCTTGCTTTTGCTAATATTCCGAAAATTGCTGTATTATAATAATTATTTCAATCCAGTATAAAATGTATGTGAACCAAGTTCCAAACTTGCCTTTCAACGTACGTAACAACTGCATAGTGACTATGGCGCGTTCAGCATAGATTGTAGCATTGTTGTTCAATGTAAACACAGCTCTGTCGCTGCCTGAAGAACATGAAAAATCGCCACGAATACTAGTAGTACTATTATTATGCACGGTCATCATGCCCATGCTCCTGTATAATACACACGTTATCAATGGAACGGTTTGTTTTCCCTAAGAGCGTTTTCTCGTGATGATCTTCAGAGTAGATCACTGAATGGCAGACAAAGATGATCAAGGTAGAAAACAAGTGTAGAAGCATAAGCCGTATCGGAGTATAAGCCGCATATTGTACTATTCAAGTCGTAGCAGAATTTCCTCTCGCCTGACTGCATGAGCTCAGCTTACATGACGTGCGTACATGCTGTCTGGTGTTGTGTACTCGCTATAGAAATCTCCTAAGGAATCCGGAGATCCAGAGGGACCCGGCTCGCTACCGCTATGTAGTGCAGAAAGTGATAGCGTTCATGACGCAAGGGATTGATGTCGCCCCGCTGTTCACGGACATGATTATGGTGAGGAAATGAGACATAACACGTCTATAAAATTAATATAATAATATTGTGAAATACAGATATTATCTGTATTTCACACTATGGAAACGGTTGGGTCCTCACCAAGGAGACACACCCGTTGCTACTCAGAGTTTCTTGAATCAATCAATCGTCAGGCAGCATAGCACATTAGATAGATTTGTGGTGCATGTCACTACAAGATATGATTCTGGTTACGCCAGGTAGAGATATATGCAGTGATCCGGTGCACCGGAGACCCCAGGGTGAACTTCTCTAACCCAGCATGCTCTTGTCCCATACCGATCACTAGTGTGCTGCTTGGTTCTTTTGGGGGTTGGGGGAAATCCCAACGCACACGCGCACACACACACACACATACACACACACGCGCACACAATGGGATGCATGCACAATGCTATGTTAACTGTTTCCAATCACTTTCAAGCCCAAGTTTGCTGAGAGGCTGAGTTTTTGTACTGTATTTCTGTACATGTGTCTGACTATGTAGGCCAGTGCCAGCAATGACATCATTCAGAAGAAGCTGTGTTACCTGTACATTGGTACGTACGCCGAGTCGCACAGTGAGCTAGCGCTGCTCATCGTGAACACGCTGCAGAAGGACGCGCGCCACCAGAACCCCATCGTGCGTGCACTGGCGCTGCGCAGCATGTGCTCGCTACGGTGAGGGACCCCTCCTCGTTTATGACTACAGTCAAAAGTACATACCCCGCCCAAGAGTGTGCTGTGCAACTCAACTATGTGTGCTGTGTGTTACAGAATTTCAAGTTGACGTCATTTTTAATAATTTTTAATAATTTTTTATGATGCAGTGCGCACTGTATACTATTAGCAGATGTAGCCTGCACCTGTGGTGGACAAAGCCCCATTTGATCCGGTGCAAACTACATGTAGTTCAAGAAAACATGTGTGTTGCGTGGAAACCCGGACGAATTTCGTAAGAAATAAAGACTCGTAAATCCCTGCCGCCTGGACCATCGCATCATACAAATGACGTCAACTTGAAATTCTGTCGGTACAGCAGGGTATGCGGGAGTTGCACACTCTTGGGGGGGGGGGGGGGATATACTGTAGAAGCAGAAATTTTCGGTGGTGTAATATTTTCGGTATTCTCCGAAATCGGCGGTTCGGCAGAGGGAAATTTTCCGTAAAACCCGTTCTCCAGGTAAGTTTAATAGTACTACATGTATACAGTATCGGTTGTACCGAAATTTTCGGTGCGTTTCATTTTCGGTAAAAATTGTCGGCACCGAAGTTACCGAAAATAAAACACCACCGAAAATTTCTGCTTTTACAGTACTAGGATAAGGCAACCACCTGCCCTAGAAGACCACTGAAGCCAGGATCAAGGGATGCTATTTCCAGTCAAATGACCCTTGATAAGGGGGACCACCTGGTAACAGAGACCACGTTTTGAAGGTCCCTTGAGCGGTCGTCTTAGGCAGATTTCACTGTATGCCCTATTGTTGCCCCATTCACCGCTCAGTTCCGTTGCCTCATCTGACACGCGGCCATGTACTGGCTGTCTAGACCACGTGTCGCGTATACTCTGTCCCCCGTGAATTCCGCGGTAGAATATCAGAAAATCCGTGCAGAATTCTGCGGCTGAAAACGGTAAATTCTGCGCTAAGTCTGCAAACCCTTCTATTTTCTGCGAGGAAAACGAGCGAAAAATAGATGGAATTTCCGCAACCCCGCCGAAGTTTGTTGTCCCTGTAAATTTACGGGGGACAGTGTGCTACACTGTACATGTATATAGGCAGGTCTGCAGTCTTGCGTAGTGAGTAAAATTCTTTTTCGACCATGAGCACGCTACCACCCACTAGGTCTGTGGACAGTTCTATTCCAAAAGCTAGTTTGTGAGTTGAGTGGCGGCAATCCTGTGCGAATCTTTGTGTCTGTGCGTGTGTGTGTGCGTGTGTGTGCGTGCGTGTGTGTGTGTGTGTGTGTGTGTGCGGGCGTGCGTGTGTGTAACCTCAGTCTGCCCAGCATATCTGAGTACATCCGGGAACCACTGTCCAATGGCCTTAAGGACAAGTCGGGGTATGTGCGTAAGACTGCGGTGCTCGGCTGTGTGAAACTGTACTATGTAGACCAGCAGCTTATCACAGGTGAGTGCGGCGAGGGCTGTCTGATAAGGAGCATACTGAAAATAATGACTTTGACTTGTTTTTAATACTCAATACTGTTTTTTGATGATCGCTTAGTGCGTGAAACTCAGAGGAAAAACACTTTTTTCGCCCTCTTATTCTTGTTGGAAGTACATGTAGCTCTGCCTTTCGGTATTGAGCACTCTATTGGACAGCCTGGGGCCTCTCTGTTTTAACTTTGACTTGTACAGTGAGTTCTACAGTGCTGGCCGATGAAATCCAGTCGAGTCGGTCAAGTACGCGCCTGGCGTTGCATAGCCCTAGACCTGCGAAATGGTGCAAGGTGCGAACTTGACTCGCGCGGCAGGATTTCATTGAGTAGCGCTGTTATTGTTACCTGCTTCTGGTTGCTTGCCCTTCTCTTTTGAGTTTTGAACGATCAGTTGACCCGAGGTAGTAATAATACTACTTGTAGTAGTGTCACCCTTTCCTTCAATGTACCGTATATCCGCACCTTTACAGCCATGGAGGTATATTCGATTATAAAGCCAGTCTCAGTTATAAAGCCATGGGCTTCATAACTGAAATGACATTTGGAGTATGTTTCGTAAAAAATGAAGGAATAAGTACTATACTAACAAACTTACAGCCCAGCAGGAAGGGTGAACAAGTAGGTTTAGATTGAAGTCTCTGTGTGGACTTGACTTTTATGGCACGGCGTAGTGGGTGAGTCATTTTGCATCTAAAATAGCTAGGAAAGCAGCGGTGTTTCGAATATAAGGCCATGGCTTTAAAGGCGCTGACATACGGTATGTAGAATAGTGTGTAACTTCACTATTGTGACAATGCACTGGCCATGCTGGTTGTCATTGCTGTAGATCTCAATATCGTCGACCGGCTATACAGAATGTTACGAGACACGGACCCGCAGGTAAGGAAGCATTCTCTGTGTGTGTGTGTGGGGGGGGGGGGGGGGGGGGCAGATGCTGCGATATGATATTCTTGCGTATTTGGCGTTTAACCTGTATCATCATGGTTCGTCTTGGTGCAGAATCGGCTGCAGTGTTGGGAGCCAGTTCCTTGTACCCGGTTCCTTGGCCCATATGTTAGAGATGTGCCCCTGGCAGATCATGAATGAGCACGCTTCGCAAATATTATATTATTGGTTGAGATCAGCAGTGTCATTTCTACCGTTGTTGTTGTTGTTTTTGTTGTTGTTGTTGTTGTTGTTGTTGTTGTTGTTGTTGTTGTTGTTGTTGTTGTTGTTGTTGTTGTTGTTGTTGTTGTTGCTGTTGCTGTTGCTGTTGTTGTTGTCGTCGGCGTCGGTGTCGTTGTTGTTGTTGTTGTGGTCGTCGGCGTCGTCGGCGTTGTTTTTGTGTCAATTTCCCACACAGGTGATCTGTAACTGTGTGATTGCCCTTGATGAGATGTTGGCTAATGAAGGCGGTATCGTCGTCAATAAAAGTATAGCCCATCACCTGCTCAACATGTGAGTACCTTGAACCGCTGGTGGTCTGTGCACCTTCCTGGCTCTGTGATCCGGGCAGTGTTCTCTGCAAGCATGTTCTGGCCGGAAATGAGCTCCTATGCCTGCTGCTGCTGGTGGTGGTGGTGGTGGTGGTGAGGGGTATTCTTGAATGCAAAGCTCTTGCTCGTCTTGGTTCCTGCACTGTGTGCTTGATGCCAGCATTCATGATGCATCGTTTCCTCTGGCATGTTCAGTCCGTTTCTAACTCGTACTCAGGAGGGCTTTCCCTTGCCCTGGCATTTATCCATTACAGTGAAACCTGTCTAAGACGACCGCTCAAGGGACCTTCGAAACGTGGTCTCTGTTACCAGGTGGTCTCCTTATCCAGGGTTATTTGACTAGACTATAGCATCTCTTGGTCCTGGTTTTAGTGGTCTTTTAGGACAGGTAGTTGCCTTATCCAAGTGGTCGCCGTGACAGGTTTTACTGTATTTTGTGGACTTTGGAATTTGACTGATCCTGTCAAGGGGAGAGCTGCACGTGTAGGTCTACACTTGTACACCTGCTCACTTGCACTGTGGCATTGACCAGGCAACCATGACAGATATTGCAAGTGCGACTGTGTGTTTCCTCTTTGGGTGTGTGTGTGCGGCAGGCTGAAAGATTTCAATGAGTGGAGTCAATCTCTGATCCTGCGGGTTCTGTCGCGCTACAAGCCGGCCGATGAGGATGAGATGTTTGATATACTGGTGAGGGGCCTCTGTGTGTGTGTGTGTGTGTGTGTGTGTGTGTGTGTGTGTGTGTGTGTGTGTTCTGGTGTGCGTGCGCATGCACGTGTGTGTGTGTGTGCGTGTGTGTGCTCGCACGCACATATGTGTGCGTGTGCACGTGTCTGTGTGTGTGTGTGGGGGGGGGGTCAGGGTCAGGTTTTGCGTGTAAATTAAAGTGCGTAGCTGCAGGGTTACAACTGTGGGCTTTCAACTACACGCCTTCACTATTACATCTTGTGCAATTTGTAGGCTGTTGGTGGTGGTGGTGCTTTAGACCAGTGGAGTATGTCAGGCTAGTGACAGCCGTCCTTGGAGCTGTAAAGCAATCAGTCTCAGATAATCTTTGTCTTGATTCTGAAGACAAGAGAGTTCGCACTCAACATTCTTGTTCATGTTCGTGTTCCGATTTCTGGTGCCGTTGTCCGTTTTCTTCATGGTACCGCATGCCTTATTTTGCCAGTCACTCCTGTCATGTAGCGGACTCTCACACAAGCTGTGACTGTGTTTGCCCCTTCCTGTGTGCAGACTATGTTGGATGAGCGGCTGAAACACGCAAACTCTGGAGTCGTCCTGTCTACGATCCAGCTGTTCCTGCAGCTGACGCAGAACATGCCCGAGGTGCAGGAAGATGTCTACGAGAGAATCCGCGGTGAGCACTATGACCAGCACTACAGCTGGAATTCTGATAATAGATTCTTGGTTGCAGGAAACAAATCAGCACCCAAAGCACAGAAGCCATATAGTTCTGGCTAGGCCTTTCTTACCAATGCTTTTCAAGTCGAATACAATGGTGATTAACATGGCAGCAAGCAAGTCAAAGTGTCGGTTATGAGGACTTGCTTGCTGCCGCGTTAATCACCTTTGTATTCGACTTAAAAAGTAATGGTACGAAGGATAGTCGGAACTATTATGGCTTCTGTGCTTTGTGTGCTGAATCCTGATAATTCGAACCTCATAACGCCGGGGGGGGGGGGACTGGCCAGGAAGGGTGCTTTGTGAGATAGGTGACTTCTTTTGTTGACATTTGAATCGCGTCGCACGGCACGTGCCTTGTGTGCTGTTCTTGTTGTTATTTTTTTGCTTTAGCTCCATTGGTGATTCACGTGCCTTGTGTGCTGTTCTTGTTTCTAATCTTTATTCTCACGATAACCAGTGGCCAATAAGAGAATGTTGTTGTTGTTGTTGTTGTTGTTGTTGTTGTTGTTGTTGTTGTTGTTGTTGTTGTTGTTGTTGTTGTTGTTGTTTGAATTCTTTATTCTCACGATGGCACCATCGCCAATAAGAGATTGTTGTTGTTGTTGTTTGTTGTAGCTCCATTGGTGACTCTGGTCCGCTCCGGCACGGCCGAACTGGCGTACGCGTGCTTGCATCACATGCAGCTACTCATAACACGCCGGCCACGGCTGCTGGAGGCTGACTACAGGACCTTCTTCTGCCGGTGAGCTGGCAGACATGGCATGCTGTAATCTACGCTTAGCGCTCTTTGCCATGTGTTTTTTTTGTGCGATGTGATGGAAGTGTATGTTGTATTCTTCGTTTGGGGTTTTCGCCATTTTTTTGCGATGGAAGTGTCGTGTAGAAGTCATTTGCTACGCTTTTGCTATTTCTTCACCTTGTGTCATCACATTGTGTTCTCTACAGCTACAACGACCCTCTGTACGTCAAGTGCAAACGTCTCGACCTTCTGATTGACATTTCGGCAGAGTCCAACGCTTGCCCAATTATTGATGAAATCAGGTGAGTGGTAAGCATGGCCCCTGTTTCAACAACACTGGTTCTGATTTGATGGCTTGTAAAGAGGTGGGGTCCACCCTACTGGCTTGGGATCGAATACCTTGAGCTTCCCTGTGCCAGTATTTATATTCCCCAAGCCACAGTAGCCGTTGTGTACATATGTGTGTGTGTGTGTGTGCGCACGCGCACATGAGCGAATATGTGCTCGTGACCTGAGGTACACACCTCCTGTCTTTGGCTTGAATTTAGGTACAGTCAACTTCGCTAATAAGGACTGCGGATATAACGACAATTCGCGAATAACGACAGAATTTCTATGCCCAGAGCAAAGTCCCAACCAACTGTAATACATAATATTATAATGAAACTTCGGGTATAACGACACTTTGTGAATAACGACACTTTTCTTATGCCCCGCCGAGTGTCGTTATAAGCGACGTTGACTGTACATGTAGCTGCTTTTCTTGGCGGGGTGTTGTCTTCCCTGTCAATCAGTGGGAGCTGTGAGTAGCTTCGCCTGCCCCAGCGGGTAGCCAGATATGTTCAATTGGTGAATAACAGTTATGTATACCAACACTGGCCAGTGAGTATGTGCCCTATATAGCATGTTGAGGTATTTCCTTTTTTATTATCTTCAATGCACTTCGATGGTATGAGCTGGGTTTTTCTTCTTCTCACGTGATCCAGTGCGTACGTGTCTGATGTCGGTGTGGACATGGCGCGGCGGTCTATCCGTGCCCTGGGAAAGATCGCCATGCGCCTGGAGTCCGCATCGCAGCACGCCATGGGCAAGCTGCTGTCCTTCTTCACAATGGAGTTTGACTACGTCACGTCGGAGACGCTGATAGTGATGCAAGGTATTGCTGCGCTGTTGTACATGTAGCCATGTAGCTATTGATACGCCTGCCCTGCTAGGGGCATTTGAGTTTGACATGCTCGGCCATATTCTTTCCGAACGTGCTGGTACTATTGCATCGTAATTAGACCTAAAAGTGGTGACAGTAAATCACTTGCTCTCTCTCTCTCTTTCTCTTTTTTGTCAATTTGGTACATTGTCCAACTGCTTGAGCTTCACCTCATTGTTTTGGCCAGAGCCCCCCTCCCCCTTATCCACCAATATACAGGTACATGCATTGTGTACATGTACATGACATCAGGACTTTTGACTGGTCCGGTCATACCATAGTCTTTCATTATTTGTGTATGGTGACTTATGGCGGGCAAATATGACCTCTTTAGCAGCATGCACGTGTTGGTGGTCGAAATGTTGGTCCAGCAATGACCTGACCAACCGGACCGGTTCCAGGGGACCTGCATGTTCACAGTATGCGACTTGTGTGTGACCGTGTTGTTCCTCTGGTTTGGGTTCTTCATTCAGACCTGATGCGCAAGTACACGTGGATGGCCGAGGCTATTCTGCCGCAGTTGCCCAGCTGTTTGGAAATTGTGCAGGACTCGGAGGGCCGTGCTGCCCTGGTGTGGATGCTGGGTGAGCATGGAGAGGTAAGCCGTGTGCTGTGGCAATAGGGCATGCTACATTACAAACAAAGCCAATTTTGTTCATTATTCCTGTACTTATCCATGATGAGAAGCAAACGAAAACTTTCGGTTACAAAATTAACTCGGATGGTGAGCCAACCCACGACCCATGAGCGCTTTCTCGACCCTTCAATCACAGGCGATGTCTCAGACGCCTGGATCGTCACGAGTGATTCAGACAGATCATCATCATGAACGATGCTATCAGATGCCTTCCTCTTCCGGCTTTCAATGCTGTCACAGACCACTTCAGGCATCTTCGTATGACGGCCTTGTTCATCGATATCGATGGTGCCGACACGTACTACAATGCGTGTGATCCGTGTCGAGAGCACTGACAATTGGACAGTTTTAGCCGTATATTTGTTCATCTTCAAATCTTGCCGAAAGATCTTCCTGCTATTCAAGTCCTTGATCAACTGGGCGACTGCCATGCCTTCGATCTCTTCTGCGTCCCGGAATGTCAGCGTTATCGAGGGCGCCTTCAACCTTCGACAGGTTGAACATGGACCTGCGTCCATCAACCCAGCATCTCAGCAGTCTGCCAGTATCCCGGCTTGATGGTGTCCCATAGTCGTCCACTCCGTCCACAACGATCTTCGGTAGACGTTGGCGTTTCTCTCCGCTGGCCAACACCATTGATGAGATCCTGCATAGATACTCGGCAATCTCCATTGGAGTCAAATCAACCCGATTCGGGTGTAGCAACACTGGTCTTAATTCATACGCTGTGCCCAGATCACTCAGCAATCGCACGGTCAACTCATCGTTCTTGCAAGAAAATAGATACCATTTTCAATGTACTGTTCGGATGTTGACCAAGTCAAGACATCTTTGAACTTCTTCTTCTTCTATAGAGAGGGTTAGCAATTGTGAGGCATAATACAGCGCCGGCGCCACTGGTACGGCCGGTACGGCCATGGCCGTACCAACTTCCCAAAAAGTCGGTCCATGTGGAACGTCCAAAACTGGGGAGAAAAAGTTTCGATGTATGATTTTGTAAAGGGAGTCGCCCAGAGTGCAGGATTTGCCGTCTAAATTCCAAAAAAATTCGGGGGGGGGGAGGACCCCAGACCCCCCTTAAAAATGGCCCTTCGGCCGCACCGCTCCGTGAAAGCTGCCTCCAGCCCTGTAATACAATATCATCAGGTTTTATAAGGTAAGGGGCCATCCGTAAATATCGATAGTTTTTTCAATCCGTGAATTTTACAAAGTAACCAGGACCCACCACCCACCCCCCTACTTTTTACGGAATAAAGTATTGATGACACATGTACTGTACCTACATAAATGTAGGTGGAGTCCATGGAGTCCATACACACGCAGGCATGCGCTCACCGTGTCATTCATAACTAGAGTCATCTACGCCTACTACGCCTACTACGCCTCGATGACGGCGTAGTAGCCATCGTCGTCTTCACCAGGGCTGTCAAGCTCTTTGAAAAATGTATCTTTTTTGGCAGCTGTACCAAACAAAGTAGTCTGCCGTGCCATTTTCGTTAGGCAGCTGTACCAAACAAAGTAGTCTGCCGTGCCATTTTCGTTAGGCCACGCTCCACATGAGAACTGTTCCAACCATTGGCGATGTAGCAATTCTTCGATGTGGAGTTCAAATAAGAGCTGGACTTGACCCGGATTAATCAGGTATTGTGACACTTGCGAATAATTGTGCAATAATTATACTTGTGAATAATATCTGACAAACTTCCCTCTTTCTTTTGCTTAAAGAGTTTCGATCTCCACTACATTTTTTGGAGACAACAATCTACGTGTACGTGTGGTTCGACGCACGCAGACCCACGCACACGCAGTACTGGGCGCCAGGTCCGCGTGTCATCGATATTTTATTTACTTTGAATTTCGGCTGCACCCACCACCCAGGTACGAAAATTTCACGGATTGTAAAAACTATCGACATTTACGGACGACCCCTAAGATCAAAGGTCGCGCCACGGGGAGGTGACGACCTTGGAGAACACGGTGAACGCGGTGCGCGCCAAAACCAAAAAGGTGCTCGCGGCATGCCGTGTCTTTTTTTGTTCGGGTTTGGAATCTTTCCATTGGCATAAGTTAATTATTAGTTTGTCATCTATGTGCGTAATCGAAAGGTCCATGAGGTGCAGAATTTTTCTAGCTTTCCTCTCGTATAATTCTTTTCGACATACAACATTTCTTTCTCGAACTTTTAGCTGCTGGAACACCAAAATTACCCTGACCTCAAATGCACACATCATGCATCCGTGCATTGACGTCACAGTACATCATTGCAACACTGATCTCACTGTGAAGTGCGGAACATGGATCAATGCGCGATAAAAGGATGAATGTGATTTCAGCGGAAAGTGCGCTAATTGGTCACTTGTTTTCAGCGGGAAGTGCGGTAAGCGGTCAATTGTTTCCAGCGGGAGATTAGTGGATTAGTTAATTGAAAAACAACAAGTTATTCCGAATTCAACTACTGTAAAAGCCATTATTCGGTAAGCGGTCAATTGTTTCCAGCGGGAGATTAGTGGATTAGTTAATTGAAAAACAACAAGTTATTCCGAATTCAACTACTGTAAAAGCCATTATTCTAACGAGGCGCATATTATAACGACTTCCAAAAATTGCCTAGTTTACGTGTACCAAAGGTAACGATTCTCACTCATTCTCAACGCTCAATAGGACAGTATATGTATCGATGTCTGTATAACGATTTCTATTTTAACGACAGATTTCTCCTCGTTAACTCGTTAGAGTTAGCACTTCGTTATATATACCGTATGGCTTTTACAGTATTACGAAAACCCTATAAAAAGAGGTCAGCACCAAAATTGGCTTTGCGTGACTGTATGGTTTGCGTCGATGCTGACACTTCTTTCGGGATTAGGATCTTCTCCAACATTTCAATCATGTTGTTAGAAGAGGTCTTCTCCTTCTTTTACTCATACTCTACAAACACAGCGTCCATTGCGATCTGGCCTCTGCAGCTACATACCAGTATGCGTAACCGACCGTCGATGCTGAACCTTGCAAGGGGGAAACAGCAACTGAAACCTGCCACACCAGCTCAATAATGTGCTTGCTCCAGCACCTCAGCACAGTTTGTTCAAGTCGTTTTTCGTACAAGAGTGGAGCTTCTCGTTTCATTCCTACTGTGTGTCTCAGCCAATGAGAAGCACCTCATTCCCTTGATGGAATGAGTTTAGTCATGTCGTGAAAACGAAGCAGTTACCTTCCACGAACTCATAGGTAAAAGATGTGTCAAATGAGGCCCTCGCTCAAGGTGAGATAGAAAAAAGGCCAGAGAGCAATGGAACCAATTTGATGAAAGAATGAATGCCATGTGGGATGCCAAAGGCCATGCGCTCATACAAAACATAATGGTCTCGGTTTTTTTTGAAAATGAACCAAATTCTCTACAAGCTAGCTATCAAGTTAGAGAATTAGGTGAAACGGGTTGACAAGGAAACAAAGCCCTGCCGTCGGGTTTCCACTATGTGTGCCCGTTTCGTCATGGTGAAGTAGAGAGTTGCCCGAAATCATTATCATGTGTGGGTGTGAATGTGTACGTACATATGTGCATTATGCTTCGGTCTGTTTGCACGTTTCGTCATGATGAAGTGGAGAGTTGCCCGAAATCCTCATCATGTGAATGTGTGTACTTACATGTGTGCATTATGCTTCGGTTTCTTTGCACATACATGTACAGCACTTGGAAGATGCACCGTACTTGCTGGAACACATCATTGACAATATTGCCACCGAGGAGTCGAGTACTGTGCGTCTTGAGCTGCTGACCGCAACCATGAAACTATTCTTCAAGAGGCCACCCGAGTGCCAGCTCATGCTGGGCAGGCTCCTAGAGTATGCAGTCGGTGAGTTGCCTGCCTCTCTCTCTCTCTCTCTCTCTCTCTCTCTCTCTCACACACACACACACACACACACACACACACACACACACACACACACACACACACACCTCAGACCTCAGACCTCAGACCTGCCCATCGCGGAAGCGATGATAGCGAACAGCTATGTCAGACATAGCAACTTGTGCTGGGATTACACCATTCAACAGCTTGCAAGGCTGATGAATTGACCGCCACTAATTTTAGCCTGGTACCCACCACACAGCTGATTCAAGTGTTTTTTTTCTGGCCAGTGAATCCCTGTTTTTCATTTTCTTCATTTTTTTCACACACACACACACATCACCTTGTTAAACTAGACAGATGCAATATTGATGTAGCTATGGCTGTGTGACTGTTCATGTATCCGTGTGTTGTAAGATGAGGAAAGCAACATGGACGTACATGACCGTGGTATGCTCTACTACCGTCTACTCAAGGCCAATGCAGCCGAGGTGAGTGCTACTAGCTAGTGGTAGTAGTTTGTTCAGTTCTTGCGAGAGCAGGAACTTCTGCTTTTTTTATCAAGGTGTAGAAGTTATGCAAGTGATGTCACGGTGGTGAACTAGCGGATTCGCTTATGGGCGCCAAGTACCGTATTTTCCGGAGTGTTAGCCGCACTTTGGGGAGCTTCTTTACTGCTACACATGTACACGCCAGAGGTCATACATGTGTACGGGCTTTGAGAACATTTTTGAAAGCTAGTATTGTGGGTGTTTGTGCATGTGGTGATCGTGTGTACGTGTGCATTGGCTTGTGCATGTGGGGACCGTGCGTATGCGTAATGTGATATTCCTCAGGCAAAGCGCGTCGTCTGCTCGCCGAAGGAAGTCATTGAGCAGTTTGCTGAAGACCAGGTCGAGGAGAAGACAGTGAGTTCCAGTGCTGATTCATTTCTGGCTATGCTGACACCTTTTTTATATCAATTTTTACAATGGGTGCACCTAGTGTGCAAAGAGTGCTCAAAATACTAGTGTTGAAACGAATAATCGAATAATCGAATAATTTAGAATATTCGTGGGGTGAACGAATAATCGAATAGTTGTAGGAATTATCAGAAATCGAAAAAAAACAAAAAACAAAAACAAAAAAAACGATCTATGCTCAGTGCTGACCCTACTGATATTTGCACTGCGTAGATCTGCTCGCAGTATTTCTTCTCAATCTCTTCTCCTCCAAGTAACTTAGTCTCCTATCGGTATCTAGTATTACTTCTGTTCTTTCCATACGAGGGAAACATGGATGCAGTGAATGTGATTTTCGGTCTTTGACCACTTTCGACCAAGAGTCAATACCCTATGCAGTGCTGGATCAGGCGTTGCACACTCTGGGGGGGGGGGGGGGGGGTATGTACTCTTGGCGGTACAGGTTAACCAGTTTTGCACGTCCACATAACAAAATCCGATAATCAGCAAAAAAATTCAAAAAAAACTACTTAAAAAGTGCTGAAAAAGTGTTGAAAAATGCCATCATGCGTATGATAGAATATAGATTATTCGTTCGATGAAGGGCGAAATTATTCGATAGATTATTCGTTCGAAGAATCCGTGTTCGGTTTAAACACTACAAAATACCATGGACGCAGAGCATAGAACAGTCAAACAGTGGACAGAAAGGCTATGTGGCTGTGTGCGTGGCTGTGTGTGTAAATCGATGTTTAGAAATCCTGGTAGGGTAAAAGAAAATTACGTTGAATGACCATTCTCCTCTTGTTAGCACGGCATTGCTTTTATTATTCTTACTCATCTCTATTAGATATTCACTGGTTGAGGGAATGGAAAAGGGAAAAGTCTGAAGAAAAAATTGACTGTCACCACCAGGACTCGGACCAGTGATCTTCGTTTGAGGCCAGCGATGCTCTAACGAAATGTCAACCAAGCGCGATCGATTGTTGTTTTGAAGTAACTTAGTTGTGAATTATTTGCAAGCTCTTTCAGTTTAGCGGTTGTCAACATGTGATAGCGCCATTGATTCTCCTGTACAGCTTCGTTTTAGCTGATCATGGGTCATTTGGACATTTGGTGGGTAACAAATAGTACCCATGCCAATGACTCTTCATTGTTTTGTGCCTTTGTGGTATTTTTATCTGTGTTCTTGTCCAGGATCTCCTTTTCCAGCATTTCAACTCCTTGTCGGCTATCTACAAACAGCTTCCAGAGTTGTTCATCAGTAGGATGCCGCCATACACACTTGATGAAGTGGCGCAGGGTAATGCCCGTGGTAAGTCTAGTCCACTGGCCGTCTTGTCACGCTGTTGGTAAACCTAGCCAGCCGTAGGTTCTGGCAATCACATGCTGAAGCACCACTCATTTCTGTCTGTCTGTCTCTCTCTCTCTCTCTCTCTCTCTCTCTCTCTCTCTTTCTCTCTCTCTCTCGCTCTCTCTCTCTCTCTCTCTCTCTCTCTCTCTCTCTCTCTCTCTCTCTCTCTCTCTCTCTCTCTCTCTCTCTCTCTCTCTCTCTCTCTCTGTCTCTCTGTGTCTGTCCCTCTCCCTGTCCCTCTCCATGTCTCTCTCTGTCCGTCTCTCTCTCTCTCTCTCTCTCTCTCTCTCTCTCTCTCTCTCTCTCTCTCTCTCTCTCTCTCTCTCTCTTGTGCGCTGCAATTGCAATCCCGGTGTCGTGGCAGGCCCTGACCTGGCAGAGCTACCGCCTGCAGACCCGCACAGTGAGGTTGTGCCAGCACTAGCACCGATAGCGGCGGCGGCAGGGACTTCCGGCACACTTCTGGATTTCGACCTAGCACCTGCAGCCTCCCCGGGCGGTGCTGGCCATGCAATAGCGGCGGCGGGTCCTTCCACTCAGCTCACGGGAGACTTAATGGTGGGTACTTGGGTCCCTGCATGCTTGAGACTGGCTCAACGTTATTCTATTAACCCTGTGTATGACTACACTGCTCGGACTGGCTTAGTGTGATGCAGTGTGATACAGAGGAGAGTGCAGATTGTGTTCTTCTTGGTTTTGTGTAAAAGCATGCACATGACTTTCTTCCCTGCAACCAAGAGTCTATAACCCCCAAGTGTGCTACTCCACTATGGGTGCTGTGGTGTCCCTACAGAATTCAAGTTGAGGGACCGAGGGATACTGAGGCAGGGTTCCCATTATAAGCCAAAACATTTCTAGAATTCTAAGAGCCTGAAACAACAGATTGGGTCACTTTCGTGAACAATCCTAGTATTAAAGAAAGTGTAAGAAATTTGGCATGTACCGCATTTTGCAATCAAGCTCTTCACAGATACACAGCATATAATATAATTATAGCTTCCACATATTCATTAAAGCCTGTGCCTAGTGCACAATAATTACCCAGAAGTGTTACTCCGAACACCCACTTGCTTCTTTCTAGCTTTGTGTTCGTCACTGTCCCCTTGGCTTTGTCACTACAGGGTTTGCTGCAGGGCCCGACAGCGGCCATCGACCTGGACCCAGACTTCCGCATGATGCCGCAAGATTTCCAGCAGCACTGGGTCAATCTTCCGGAAGGGGAGTCTCAGCGCTATGACCTCGTCGTCGTGCCGACGCCGTCAGAGATGGAGCAGACCATGATGAGCTGTCAAATCGTCACCATGGCGTCCAGCCCGCCCCAGGAGGTCACCAAGTTCTTTTTCTACGCAAAGCAGGTAGGTGCCATGCCCGTTTCAGGTTTAGTGTGCTTTAAATAATAACTTAAATTTACTTCAAATTTCAGTCATGTGCACACACCTTTGCGGTGGATGTTTTTTTGGCACAAGGGTGATGTTGGCCTCAAGGTATCCACACCCTGTGGACTACTAAGCCAGTATAATTATCAAAGTGATGATGGATAATACTATAGTAACATCTGGCACCGAAGAATTTCTGGCGGGCAGGAAAGTCACCAAAATTTAAGAACGTGCCGGGCTAGAAACAAGGATACAGGAATTCCAGTGCGTGTTTTCCTGTTTCACTGCATGTACTGTATACCAGTACCTGTACCGGGTCAATGTGCAAGCATGGGATAGGAACAAAGATGCCAGAAACTGAAATGTACAGTTGTGGCAAGTGAAATCCGACACTTGCCATAGGGGACAGCGCCTCAAATGGACATCAATGATGTAATGCACTGCACCTAATTGGTACTATAGAGCCGTATGCATCCCAAACAAGTCGAAAGGTCACAGCTTAGATACACACAGTTTACAAACATGGTACACATCAGGAGTATTGGTATCCAATTCCCATTCATATTTGCCAGCACCTTTTGAACCTTGACTGTGATGAGTACGAATTCTGTCATCAGACAGATAAAGTTGTATGCAACACATGTACTGTACGTATGCAGGGCTGCAGGATGCACGGTGCAGTCCCTTATGCCAAGTGTCGGATTTCACTTGCCACAACTGTACCAGCATTGAAAGAAAGAAAAAAATAACGCCCTCTCTTGAATAGTGCCCCACCTGTGATGGAATTTGAAGAGAAAATAGTACCCCAGGGGTACTGATCACACGAGTACGGTACATGTATGTACTTTGAAGTACACTGTTGTACAGACATTACACCGCTTGAGTCTCAGTCGGCGTCACCATCGCTCGATTCCTTATCAAGTTCGATTCACCAGAACTTGCAGCTCGGTGGAAGTCACATTTTTGTTTCCGGAAGAGGTGAATTGATTTCAAAGTGTGCATGAGAAAATAGTTTTCCACATCTGTGTGGACACCTCCACCCCTTCTGGTGCAATGTTAGAAACATGAAAGTTATGGGTTTGTTGTTGTTGGTGCTGCTATTGCCATTTCTGTTGTTGTTGTTTGAAATCGTTATGCTCACGATCGCCAGTGATCAATAAGAGATGTTGTTGTTGTTGTTGTTGTTGTTGTTGTTGTTGTTGTTGTTGTTGTTGTTGTTGTTGTTGTTGTTGTTGTTGTTGTTGTTGTTGTTGTTGTTGTTGTTGTTTGCATTGCTCTACAGTCCACAACAAACACCATGTTCTTCATTGAGGCAACCATTGACTCACGTTCATCCGTACTGACGGCCGGCTTCAAGTGCACGGACGCCAGTTCCCTGGCACAGTTCCGCGAGCACTTCCGGAAGTCACTCGTGGGCAAGTGGATGCCTCTGGAGATTTAGGTGGAAATTCACACCATCAGCTATTGCCTTCAGATTCGAGAAGAGGACGGTGCAAATTGCAATAGACTCTGCTATAGCGTAAATTAGATAAAATCGCATCAGATTGAAGCTCTAGATAGTTTTCTTGCGAAGCCCAATCAAATGGCTGGCTAGTACTTCTGCTTCCTTTCGGTTTGCAGCTTGTGTACATATTGATACTGCTGGTCTTCTTTACCATGTTTTTTGGCCTTCCAACCGCTGACGGGCTTGCTACCTCCACACAGCGAGCCGCTCTTGGCGGTTGGCTTGGCGCTGCCCGTCCTTACTTGCTGTATAGTGCTATGTGCGTGTGTATGCGTGTATGCATGCGTGTGGTATGTGAGCAGTGTACAGTTTGTGTAGATATGCACATTCTGCTGATGTGCAGTTTGTGTCTTACGGGTATTATGTATATTAATTTTCTAAGTATCTCTTTGCAGCATTTTGCCTGCACAACCATCGTGTACATTTACGAAAAATTTAATCTACTTTTGATTTGAAGTTTGCTGCTCATTTTTTAACACAATATTCTCCTTCTATTCGTATTTTTTTACTCTGAATCACTATTCAAGATTTGTTATTTACTTGTATGTACGCTATGCATGGATTGTGCTTGTCGTGTCTAGCTATCTTTCGTTGTTTTGGTACTTTAGTTGAAGTTTGTGCCATGTGCCACTCGCTACCAGGTATTCTGATAAGTTGATGCTGTGGTGGATCTCTAAGCTTTCCTTGATCCTGCCGCCAGTCATGCCGGAGTTTTTTTTGCAACTGTCCTCACTCCTGGAATGTGAATTGTCGGTATGAAGCCAATGTCTCCCTCGCCAAGCCCTCTTGGTTGTTTACCCTTGCACTGTCCAAAAGGCAATACGCCAATAGTTACATTGTAGATCTACCAAGAGCCAATACGGGTAGATCTACATGAACAGGATGTTGGCAGTTGAGGTGTTATATTGGCACCTATGCTGACATCACAAAATGTGACTATGTCATTGTATGACTTGCTCGTGACATGACCTGCATCGGCATGAAGCCCTAATACTCAGTAATAGGTCCATCCCATAATTATCTTCAAACTCAAAGTAAGCTTTGACAGGTTTTATGGCTGAACTAATCGCACTGTACATGTACCATTGCAGTCCGTGCGCCAAGGGGTACTCAAGGGCTGATTTTATTTGCAACCGCGGGAAACGAAGTCACCAAGACGCCTTCATTTGAGGCTTTTGGAATTGGAGAATTTATTGAATTTAGGTATGGCTCTCGTCCCTTCTAGAGAACTAACCAAGACCCTGTGGGGGCAGAAGGAGACTTCTTTGGCTCCGTGAATACACTAGCTATGCGGTGGTCTAGTTAGTTTGAGTGTGTGGTTCGTATTCAAAGTGTTCCAAGCCGCAGTTCACTCGAAGGTCATCGTGGATACGTCTGCACTTGAAAATCAAGGCTGGAAAGGACTGCCTGGTGTGTCCGAACGGTATGTTTTGCACTGAAGGCATTTTTTGTATGAATTGTTGAAAGTGTCTACTTGTTCGAAATGCAAAAGACATGGTCGTAGATCCTTGGCCCACAACACCCCACTAAATAAACTATGACCTGTCGTGAAATTATGTGAAATTGATCAACACAATCATACACAAATTATCCTATGGCAAAGTACTGCAAATGCAAATAATAGCATCCCTTTACCTAGGTCATGTTTGTAGGGCCTTATGCCACATCTTTGCATGATTTCCTCATGCAAATCGTGTGCCTAGCTTCGAAAACACATTGCGCTAAGTGCCGAATATATACCTGTGAATCAGAACAACAGCACTCACTATTGCTTTCATGAGTGGTAATGGTCAGCTGAAAGGAAACTTCTATCCATCAACTCATAAGTAAAGTAATGACTAATCTCCTTGCTGCGCATGTGGTTCCTTCGTATTTACATGTACCGTAAAGTACCGCCAGAGCGCCCCACCATCTCGTCCTTTCGGGGTCGTATTGTGGGGGTGGTCTCCGGTCTGTAGGTTATACGACACGAACTTTGTACACATATTGCACGTTCTGCAGACAATCTGTGCCTTCGAGCGGACACGAGCTCCACACAAAACCTGCTTAGTGTGACCTTAGTACACTAAGTTGCTCACACCGTACGAACTTCGTTGCACTCTGCCACACGATTTTCCTTTCCCTGGCTGTATTATATAAATCTGTCGCAGCAAAATCAAGGTGGGGCGCTCTCGCGGTACTTTACGGTATGTGCGCCTCTCTGTGTTCGGTGAATGATTTTGAATATTTGCGCACGACTTCAGGATAGTGCACATTGTATGCATGTACCTGCATATGTAATCCTTTCATGATTTAAAAATTAGGAGAGCCGTGCTTCTCATCACCGTGGACAAGTAAATGTCGGCCAATTACGTAGCGTTTGGAGATTTGCACAAGTACAGTTGCGTGTCGATTATGCGGCAACCGCGGAATAAAATGAATATTCTGGACGACTGAAGCTACAAAGCCATCTTATGTTAACTTAACAGATAAAAAAGACAGTACTTCGAAGTACCTGTATTTATCACTAGTATTACCCTGAGACAGTCGTGCTCATCTCTAGAGACTGGCTTGTATTTAACTCTACGTAATGGCAACTTTCATGATGCTGACTGTCTACATTTACTTGAAGTAGGACTATAAATACTAAATATAAGGTCTATAAGCTGTCAGTGCGGTGCTGTTGGATACCCGACATGCCATGTGACTGACCGCCAGATACTAGTAAACGACATGCGATTGTACCGGTCACAGTGTAGCTGGGTTTTCACGACAATTTGAAACTTATACGATTGTGAGAAAAGTTCAGAAACCACACTTACACATACACACACACGCACGCACACACACACACATGCGTGCACGCGCGCGTGTGCACACACACACACACCTGTCCTGTTCTGTTGAGCCACTACCACAACTTAGCACAAGGATCGCATCGGTAGAGCGAAAGTGAGAGGTGTTGGCTTCGAGTTCACCTATCTCTACGGTGAACGCAACCTCGATCGAAAGTCATGCCAAACGGATTTATCTACCACACGCGCGCGCGTGCGCGTATACAAAACGGAGGAAGGATTACTTACTCTCCCTGTATGATGTTTCTGTTGTATTCGTGAACAATGTCATTGATGTTTTTCCATGCATGTTTTTGAATATGCGAGCATAACTTCCAACATCAAGCACATTCTTGCTTCTCATCAGCATGTACAAGTTTATGTTGGGCAGTTATGTAGCGTTTGTTTTACCGGCTGCGTTTGTTGGTGCTTGCAGGTCATTGGCATGCTGTCTGTTTCACAGAAGCTCGTGTAACAGGTTCACCGTACAGCTATGAATGCAATGTAGCGTGTTGAAGCCACTTCGGTATGACGTGATGCCTAATTTCCTGGTTGTACCAAAATTGCGAGTATGCAAGTGATCGTCAAGCCTGCCCCTGTACAGTAGCCGTCTTGCCTTGTTACGCCTGGTTCTGACTCTGCGTTCTCGTTTACTCCATGCAATGTTACAAGGAATACTGCTCCCTTCTCAAGCAATTCATTGGCAACAAAACGCTCGGCTATGCCCTGTAACTTTGCTGTGCGGTTTGTGCTTTGTCAATGTTGTGTACCAGTTCATGATCTGTGCTTGCTGGTCTGTTTGTTTTCTCTCGCACAATTGAGGCGCTGTAGCACAGTGTACAGTGTCGATCATCCTGCCCAGGCTCTGATTTCACGTACCACAGTACGGTTTCTCTTGTTGCTCACTGTAATGTGCATGATACAAGCTCCTTGGTACTCCATCATCACCTGGTGCTGTTGCTGCCATTGTTGGACCCTGCTGATATCCTTCTCGCAATGCCCGAACGTTGTTCCAACAAATGCACAACTCGCTCTTAGTTGTCACATTCGGTTTGGTCTCGTTCCAGTCTTTTGAATTGAGTGAGTGCGTAAACTTGTATGAAGTGGTGGAGCAAAAGCCGTGTGCCGGCAAACATTCAATGTCCGGGTGTAATGACGCACCAAGGTCCCGGGACTTGCGTCCAATTCCTGAGTGATTTTTGTGTGCCTAGCCTCTAGGTATCATACCATATTTGTTTGGTTCAACCGTTTTGGATGCCCACTGCAATACCATTCACTGTATTATGTGTGTATGTTATCCAAGAAATCTCCCATATTTTTGGGTGGACAAACCTCGCCATAAGTCAGTAACCTGGCATTTTGCACTAACAGAACTCCTAGGATATCAGCGCCGTCTCAGTACCTGGGGACAGTTGTAAAGAAAAAGAAAAAATATCCTTGGCCCACAATGCCCCACTAAATAATCCGAAGGGTGTCGCGAAGACGACAATTTCCTTACCTTTCTTTCGTGGACGAAAAAAGACACTTCGCTTCGTCCGTTGCGCATGAAACGAAACATGAGGGTAGTGTTTATCAATTAGAATAGGTATCATGCACGAAGGAATGGCGAAAAGGTACTATGCTCGAGCGCTGGTCGTCGTCTTGTTTGTCAATTTTGAGTCCCATTGAGAATTTTCTTCTCGAGACCTCTCAAATTTCCCGCGGTTGCAAATAAAAGTGCAACTTCTAGACGACTTTTTTGAATTTGGCGCACGGACTGATTGCAGTTGTACCGGTACTTGAAGTCTTGAAAAAAATGTTGGGCGTAGTGACGCGTAGATTTCTACGGTATGCCGGTACGCGGGGTCCGGGTTGGCCTGCCTTCAAAAAAAAAGAAAGTTACTTTCAACTTTTCAAGTAACGTTGTGGTCGTTGTGACTGGTGAGTTTCTGTGTATGTAGAGCTAGCTGTACTGTTGTGTCAGGGTTTGAAGTACAATAAGTCAGTGCCAGGTGCATCGAAGACCTTCAGCGAGAAGAATGAAGTCTCGGCTATGCCTCGTTCTCCTGCTGACGCTCAGCGTCGCAACAGTTCAGGGGCAATACTTCTACCGTTCTGGTACGTGTATCAATTACGAGATCACATGCCCATTACTGAAATACGAATTACGATTGTGGAGATTGTTTGAAACCACGCGAAGAGTTTTCACTAACGGTATTCTGAAGCCAAGAGTCTTTCCCCACCCGGCCGGCCAGGTTGGCTACTAAGTACTAATCCATAAGATTATCATCGATGCATCTGGCAAATTTCAATTTCGAGGATGAAATAAATAAATTATTGGTAATTTTTTTGTGAATAGGCGTTTTTGGACATGTAATTACTGTACCAACAGTCCAACACATAATCAGGGACTGAAAACAAAAATATTTAAAAAGGTTGGTACCGGTAGAAGTTGAGCCCGGACATGTGTGTGTGTGTGTTTGTGTATGTGTGTTCACGGATACGTGTGTGCGCACGTGTGCTTTCTGCACCTCCCGCCATTCAGCACAAGATGTGATGGGCATCTACTTTGACCAGGATCTGGAGACGGCAGGCAACACCACTAACAGCACCACCAGTGACTGCCCTCACCAGCCATCAACATGGCTCGGATTCGTCTGTGCTGCGGTCTCTGTTGTCTTTTTTGGCATCAACTTCTTGCCTGTAAAGAAGATTGAGACTGGCGATGGTAAGGGGTCATAGCGATGCTGTGCAATCCAGTGCATGTAGTAGTGTCTTCTATTTCTAAAACTTGAATCTCGTTCTTTTCGTATGGTTTCAATTTGTCCGAGGGTATGGACCAATGCGGTACCTTTTTCTTATGGTGTTAACCTGTTAGTGGCCGCATACCTTGAACGCTCATTGCCGTAGCAAGGATAGCGATGGCTTCCTCACGCTGAGGCTCTAAACTCGAAATCTGCAGTATGGCGCATGCCGCTTGAGGTCACCAACGTCTCTCAACATTCTTCTTTACTCTCGCCATAAACAAATTTTGAATTTTTGAATTTCTCAGCGTGAAGAAGCCAACTCGTGCCGTGTGTGTTCAACAAACAGCTCTCAGCAGGCGGCAAGCCTGCTGTAGAGCGCCACTACAGCCATCTCCTGGTCTACACCACACGGAGATGGACTGCGTCCTGTGGCAAACTCAAGAAACAGGAGCACCAAAAAGTGCAACCGTTCTTCTCCAGACCAGAACACACACACATACGCTCGCACACACACACACACACACCATGTATACCATGTATACACCCGTCGCAAGAGAAGCACGCAAATCTGCAAATGCACTGGATGTGCACCCACAGATTTTCTCTTATAGCAACGATAGCGAACAAGATCTGAATGAGACAGATCAAGACTTACGCCAGATAACTGTCTAATCCACACAACTGGCGAAGCCATGTGAATTGACCACCAATGCACACCTGGTCTACACCACACGGAGTACATTGGCATAAAACGGCCAAGACAGTTACCTATGCACACCCTACACTTGCTGCGGTAACCAGTGTACAGCACGCTGCTTCGATAGAAGCAGACACTAGATGCACTGGTACATTGAAGTGAAATTGGAGTTACTTTACCAACCAGCCTCGGCTACTGAGTACTGGGAACCCAGAGCCAACAGACACACCAACAACCTCAGCCATGAAAGCTACAGTCCATTTCAAAACTATAGACGCGTAGGGTTTTTGAAATATTTCAAATTTGGCTGGAGCTTTTTGAGAATAGTTTTCGGAATATTACTCAGGTCCGCTCCACAATTACTCTCATATAGTTTCTAAACGATTGGATAACAGACGCCCAATTTGGAAGAATTTATGCACAAAGTGATCACAGATTTTATGTGGTATAGATGCTGGCATAACGGTTTTTGCCTAGGTACACGTCTATAGTTTTGAAATGGACTGTATATAGTAACGACACACTGGATTGTGGAGCCGAAACTAGTCCAACTTCCAAATGCTTTGGCAAGAAGGTAGCCTTCCGACAGGTTGGCACACACACACACACACACACACACACACACACACACACACACACACACACACACACACACACACACACACATGCTTCACGTACAAACATATTCTCTCTCTCTTTCTCTCTCTCTCATTCTCTCTCTCTCTCTCTATCTCTCTCTCTCTCTCTCTCTCTCTCTCTCTCTCTCTCTCTCTCTCTCTCTCTCTCTCTCTCTCTCTCTCTCTCTCTCTCTCTCTCTCTCTCTCTCTCTCTCTCTCTCTCTCTCTCTCTCTCTCTCTCCCTCTCCCTCTCTCCCTCTCCCTCTCTCATATCCCCTATCCTGTATCCCATGTTGTTCTGTTTTGTCATGGATGCTCTGCACTGCTGCAGGTATGTTCTTCCAGTGGATTGTCTGTATGGGTATCTGGCTGTCTGGCCTGGTCATATACGCCATTCGAGGATTCCCAAAGTTCCAGCCACTGGCCATGGTGGGAGGGTTGCTATGGGCAACTGGTAAGGCTTCAACACTGATCTATTCTAGTAGGGTGCCAACACCACAATGTTCCTGGTAACCTGGGGGGCACCGACTTTGCCAACATGTAACAGTTCGCAAGGGGTGTCTGAAATCCCTAACGCAGGTGCGGGTGTACGATTATGGTGCCAGCTTGCCAAGAGCCGTCTGCTCTGCTGTGCTGCAGGTAGCTAGCTCTTGAGCAAACTCTTTTGCCAACACACTGTGTTCCAAAACGAAATGTCGGCGTGAAGAAGATGACCGCTAGAAGAGAATACAGAGATGTAGGAAATTGGAATGTTAGGTCACAGGGACGCTAGCAATCCGTTACCAAGAGTACATAACCCCCCAGAGTGTGCAACGCCGATCCAGCTCTGTGTAGGGTCTTGGTCGAGCGGAATCGGATCTTCTGATGTCATGCGTACACTTCACACCAGCGCAAGGCCGGCCTCGAGGCAGGGCACCATTGTTTTTGATCCAAGAGTACCCGCGACTCCCCGGGTTCCCCTCAGATGTGTACGGTATTATGACGCAAAGATCCGATTCCGCTCGACCAAGACCCTATGCAGAGCTGGATCAGGCGTTGCACACTCTGGGGGGTTATGTACTCTTGCCGTTACTTTGAACATGAGTATTCATTGGCTTGAGGGAAAGATGCAAACAGTAAAATAATAATAATAAAAATACACACAGCTCGCACCTTCCCTGAACCTGTTAGAGAGGAGCAGGGTCGGCGCATCTGTCAACAGTGTCAAACCAAATTAGTCTCTCCTGCAGCTTGGAGAAGTCTGAAGAAAAATTGAACATGATTGTGTGACATTTATTTGCTCTGTTTGTGTGCAGGAAATATCACTGTTGTGCCCATCGTGAAGATGATCGGTCTTGGCATGGGTCTGTTGATCTGGGGGTTGGCTAATCTTCTATTTGGCTGGGCCAGTGCTAGGTAAGTGTTTATGTGTGTAGGTGTGGACGTGGGTGTGATGTGGGTATTAGTGTGTGTGTGTGTGTGTGTGTGAGGAGGGGGGGGGGGGGGGGGGGGGGGGGGGGGTGCGGGTGTAGGTGGGTGGGTATGGGTGTATGCATGGTACATGGGTGGGTGTGGGTGGGTGTTTGTTGGTGTGGACGTGCGTGGTTAGGCAGGTGTGAGGGTGGAGTGGACATGGCGTGTGTGTGTGTGTGAGTATATATTATATGTGTGTGTAAACTGTGTACACTGTGTATACACTAGTCAGAACAACAGATGGCCTGATCAGTCACAACTTAACCCTTTGTGGACGGACTGTACGAGTTTCGATCTAATAAGATCGAAACTTCGTAACTTCGTAACTCCATTGTTTCTTGAGCAAATTCCACAATCGAAGGGTCTACGTGGTAGCGGGAACTCCAAGCTGTCCAATGCAACAATCGTCGAAGAGTTACAATGTCGGACGCCAGAGATATCGCACGCCGTATTCTTACATCGGCAAATTCAAATTTTTGATCAATCATTTCGCCATTTTGGGGGGAAATCCCTTTTCGTGTGCTCTTTGAGCGACTCAGCACATGATAATGACGTAGCCGGCTGAAGTTTGAATCGTCTCAAACAGATTTGAGCGTTCTGCGATGAAGGAGAGTGGAATGGCGTTGATGGGACGAATTTGCTTGCATATCAGGCTTGGAGACGACTATGCTGTGTTACCGCGCCTGATTTGTGGCGGCTGGATAATGGAGATTGGTACCCTGGCGTTGCTCTCGTCAAGAGCTTTCCAATGAGCCCTTGATCGTGAAAATCAAGTGAAGGACACCAAAGTTTTGACAAGGTAAAGTTGAAAATTGTACTGACATTTTGTAATTCTGGTGCGTACTGTGCTAGTAATCCGTCCATAAAGGGTTAAAGGGGAACTACACCCAAAAATCAAAACTTCATGGTCCGTAGAGTTTTGGACGCTGAGTCGAATGGTGAAGGTCCCACTTCGATCCAACCAAGCGTTCCTGAGATATCTTCGGTTTAAATTGTACTTTCGGGGGACGCGCCATGACGTCATGCGGCCGCGACACACCCCCAACACGCCCTTCTACGTCATTGAGACTCGCTTGCTTGGGCCAAGAACAGAAGTACAGGTATTTTGGTATGTGAAAGGAATAGTTCTGACAAAGACGTCCTCACCATGAGCGATTCCGACGTATCAGACGAGCTTGAAAGCTCAGAGCCTGAGCTGAAAATGTTTGGCTTCGGGCATGAGCCGAAATTTTCAGGAAAGGATAATTATGGCAGCGCAAGCGGTGGCTTCCATTCGGGCTGTAAATGTGGATGAAGCAGAAATGACTGCAATTGGAGAAGTCGCTCTCCATCAGCAATATCTGGCAACCGGTTGGCTGGGCTATTTCGAAATGAAGCGGCAGCCAAAGCAGCTCAGACAAGACTGACAATCCGTAAGTGTTTTCACAGTATAGTCCTACGTAATGCTCACAAATCGAATCGTTCTCTTCATATCGTTTGAAATTTTGTATTCGCACAGTACTCAGATCAATAGTCTCCTCACTCGTACTCCTGTACATGGAGTTTGCTGCGTAACATGGCTAGCATTATCTCCGTGCAAGTCGTGCAATGTGTATCGGTTCACTTGTGCTTTATCTCACATAAGTGGACTGCACCTCAATTCGTATTGTGGCGAAATACATTCTCACCTTTTGCATTATCACTTAGTCTTTACAGAATGCTGAGACGTTCTCTTGTATTTCACGTAGCTGTGTACCAACAATTACGCTGTGCACTCTAGCAGCAGCACAGTAGCATATTGAGTGCGTTTTGCCCTACTGTGGTGTCTCATGACTGCATTACCAGAACAGCTCTGTCCTTCTTGATTATCATTCTAAAAATGTGTGCACATATCCGCCTGCGCCCCACGCACGCACATGTGCTCACCTTGGTGGGCACATAGTATAGTAGTCACACATGCTCACGCACACAGACACGCGATTTCACAAGCGCGTGCTCACACGAATGCATAAGCATACAAGTGCCTGTGCACATGCACGCACACATGCGCGCACTCATGCACTTGGTTGCATACCCACACATCCCTCAGGATCACTAACGGCAATGCATCTACTACTTGTCATTCCATGTCCCTCCCGCAAGGGGGAGAGAATGACCTAAAGGAGAACACAGAATAGATGACGTGAATATCTTTGGAATGTTATATTACGTTACACAAAAGCACACGCATGTGTGCGCCTGCGCGCGCACTCATGCGCGTGCGCGCACACACAGACACTCACGCAAGTGCGCGCACACACACACGCGCGTGTGCGCGCACACACACACTCACGCGCGTGTGCGCGCACACACACACTCACGCGCGTGTGCGCGCACACACACTCAGTGTCACGCGCGTGCGCGCGCACACACACACTCACGCGCGTGCACGCACACACACAATAATAATAATGTCTGTCTCTCAAACACACTCACGTGCGCGCACACTCACGCACGCGCACACTCACGCACGGGCGCGCGCGCACGCACACACGCTCGTGCACGCACACACTAACGCTCGTGCACGCATACACACAATAATAATAATGTCTGGCTCTCATCTGCATCCATACTGAGAAAACGCAACGAGCTCCTGAGGTGTACACTGTTGCCGGTATGTGGACTATCTTCTCTCCTTGAACTGCGGGTCATTACGTGATGTAGCTTATCAGCAGTACAGGCTGTGTGTTCATACAGGAAAAAACATGCCAGCTAGAGGCGCTGGCGCTGCAAACAGTCCTTCCTATAACCTTTGGGCGGTGGCACTGGCAGTGGTCGTAGCTCAACACTGAGTCACTGCGACCGATGGTACAGCCGCTCTTGATCTTCTTCCTGTAAAATCAAGAACAGCAATCGCAGACAGGTTCATCGATCGCACGCAGTATAGCCTAGGGAAACAGGAGATCTACTGCCGTCCACCTCATCAGGCCGGTTTCGGAAAGCTTCACATTTCGTAGTGATGTAGTCCAAAACAATTCTACAAATGCTTTGGAAAAGAAAGAACTACATACAGTAGCTAGTGTTTTTGAAATATTGCACTCACCTCCACTTTTCGACTGGCGCTTCACAGTGTGGCGTGCGAAAAAAGGACACACCACAGTTTCATCCACCAGCGTCCGCATCGGATGAGTGCATAATATTCCTCCTGAAAATCCTCCTCTGCCAAATGGCTGGAACACACGCGAAGGATTTACATTGTAGTCCCGAAATTGTCAAGCAAATAATTATGTCGCTTGATAGCTGCTATGGCGGCACTGCTCGGCCTGTGCCAAGCACAATCCTTCGGAAATTGGTGCAGGTTCATCCCAGGGGGGTTACCAGTAAGATTATAGTAGCCAACAACACAGCCAGAAGCCATGATGACACAAATACCCTCTTCTTCCATGGACAAACAGAAAGAAGATGCAAATCCCAGTGTTTCTGGATCTGGCCAAAGGATCACCAAGTCTCAATGACGTCACGGGTTTGTGACGTCACGGCACGGACCCGAAAAGGACAATTGCAAACTGATTATATCTCAAGAACGCTTGGTCGGATCGAAGTGGGACCTTCACCATTCGACTCAGCGTCCAAAACTCTACGGACCATGAAGTTTTGATTTTTGGGTGTAGTTCCATCTCAGGCACTCATCACCTGATGAGTGCCTGAGATGGCATGAAACTTTAAGTTGTGACTGATCAGGCCATCTGTTGTTCTGACTAGTGTGTCACGGCTCTACCTTCCCGGTATCGAGCTCTCTTGGATTTCTGCTGGAATTCACAACAGTATTTGTGTGTGTGTATGTGTGTGTGTGTGTGTGTGTGTGTGCGCGCGCGCGCTTGCGCGCATGTGTGTGTGTGCATGTGCGTGTTTGGCGAAGGGAGAGAGACAACAGACACGGACAGAGAGGGGCGACAGGGGACGAGGTCAAACTGCTGGTGAAGACGAGGAACTGATCTGTGCTGATGAGTTATCACCACTACCTGTGTCTCTTCTGTTTCTACAGGTTTGGTATCCTGGGTATAACTAAACCAGAGATCCCATGCAGCAAGCTACTCAATGATCTCGGAATTGTGTTTTGCGTTCTCGGGTGAGTACAGCGCGGGCAGGGGAGAGTAGAGAGATAGAAGTGCTAACACTACTAAAACTCTTGATTTCTAGATAGCAACGTTCTTCTTTTATTGAGAGTCTGTTCACATGGTTAGATAAGAAGGTGGAATGCCTGTTTCTTTTTTCTACTGAAGTAAACTAAACTCAATCATTGCAATACTGTAAAAGCAGAAATTTTCGGTGGTGTAATATTTTCGGTATTCTCCAAAATCGGCAGTTCGGTGGAGGGAAATTTTCGGTAAAACCCGTTTTCCAGGTAAGTGTACTAGTACTACATGTATACAATATCGGTTGTACCGAAAATTTCGGTGCGTTTTATTTTCGGTAGAAATTGTCGGCACCGAAGTTTAATACCGAAAATAAAACACCACCGAAAATTTCTGCTTTTACAGTAGTAGAGTAATACCGTTCAACGCGACCACTGTGATAAGGCAACCCCTATCCCAGAAGACCACTACACGCAGAACCAAGGGGTGTTATTTTCCAGTCAAGTGTCCATGGTGGGTAAGAACACCACCACCTATACACGGGGACCACGTCTTTCAGATCCCCCGAGCGGTCGGCTTCGACAGGCCACCCTGTAGTGATGTCCCTGTAGTTATGATCCGATTTATGCAGTACAGCTTCCAACTGTGCCTCGTTCTATCCTGTTTTGCGGGACAGTTTTTTTCTCCCTGTTCAGTGGCTACTCCCAAGAGAAGTAGGAAAATTCCTCATCGGTACTATATCTACGTGTGTGGATTTGTGTGTGGGTGTGTTCTTGTAGCTTAATGTTGTACTTCTTCGTGAAGACGGAGCCGCAGCCACTGCCATCAGAACCTGACGAGAGCACGCATCTTCTGGCGGTAAGTTAGAGCGTACTACAGACCGTAACAGTACTGTCGAGTCCCGAAGAACGGAGTGCCGAAGAACGAAACAGGCTAGAATTTCATCAAGCACGGCATACCAATGTATGCACGGTGACTCAACTGTGCATAGACTGTAGTGCATGAAAATAAGAACGGTCTAGGCTACGAGGCTGACTCCTCAGTTCTTTCAGACTTTGCAGTAGTACTGTAGCCAAAGACCAACTTCGTTTTTTAATTTTTTTATCATGTACAGGGAATCAGGTTTGAGTTGTGGTTGTGCTGACGTATCTGAATTATGTTCAGTGAATGCCTCTTGTTGAGCAGCCATGAGAAATAAACACGTTCTCTGCTCCCGGTTATTGTGTCACGTTTTGATGCGCATGGACAACCCTGAAAGGATCAAGATCTACAGGTGGAAGAGTGTAGGAAAGCCGCAAAGGTGTGCTGCATTTTCTAACGTTGGTTCTGTCCTGCTCACATGCACGTGTCTACTTGATCACACAGGGCTCTGGCAGGCTGTCGGTACAGCGCATGGACAGTGGGCAGGATGACGATGCTTCTTGGACGGACAAGATCAAAAACCCCATGGTCAAGAAAGCTGTGTAAGTTGACCGTGTCTTGTGCAGCCTGGCCCTGCGGCTTGGATAAGACAGAAACAGAGACAGAGACACAGAGAGAGATAGATAGAGAGAGAGAGAGAGAGAGAGAGAGAGAGAGAGAGGGGGGGGGGGGGGGGAGGGAGGGAGGTAGAGGCGACGGCAACGTTGACTGCTTGGATCACTGATAGTGATAGATGCTTGGAACATGGTGTAATTTTCAGCCCTAGTAAATTCGTTGCTCCTGAGACACAAGGTGAAGCACTGACCATTACCTTTTGACCTCGGTAAAGTAGCACTGGGCACACTGCACATTCCTAGCACCAGCAGCGCTATTCTGCACACTTGAACATACCACTACTTTCTTCATGAGGTCGAGTTTCACTAAGCAGAAATGTATTTACCACAAAGGTGACATATAAGCACGGTGTGAATACTCTGTATACCATGAGTTTGCTTACTCTGAAAAATATGTACCGGTATGTGTGATCATGCATGTGTGTGTGTGTGTGTGTGTGCGTGTGCGTGCGCATGCTGTGTGTGTTGCGTGCGCATTTGTGCATGCATGTGCGTGCATGTGTGTGCATGTGTTCACTGGTACATACTTATTACACCTGTGTGTGTGCAGCGCTATTGGCATGAGCCTGTTTGCCGGCGCTCTGTACGGCGTCAACTTCAACCCGGTCACGCACCTGGAGGAGAACGTCACGCTGCACGGCCTGGAACCATCCACCTACGTCAGCCTGGACTTTGTCTTCCCTCACTTCTGCGGCATCCTGGCCACCAGCTCCATCTACTTCTTCCTGTACTGTGCCGTGATGAAGAGCAGTCCGAGGGTGTATCCCAAGTGCATCCTACCGGGACTCATGTCCGGTGTCATGTGGGCCATTGCTGATGGTACGTCTCAGGTTTGCCACCGCGCTTTTATCTCATTCTGTATTGCTTCACGACTTTCATTGCTCCCGGCTATCTGATAGTGTAGATCACAGAGTAAATAAGTTACTCGGCTTTGCTCTGCGCATCAGTGTGAAAAATGTGTCATTTTTGGCGAGGTGCACCCGAAAAACAACACTATCTTCAGACCTAGTGACCATGTGTCTGCATACTTTTCACTTCGAAAATAACTACAACTCACGAATAATAACACTTCTCTCATGTGCAATCGAGGGTCGTTATTCGCAAGGTTGACTGAACTTTTATTATGTTGCTTCTTGCTCTGCTCTGTATTACAGCCAGCTGGTTTATTGGAAGGAGGACAGTCTGACCATATTATGTTGTACTTGTTGTTCTTCATTACAGCAAGCTGGTTCATTGCCAATGAGAAGCTCAGCCAGGCTGTGGCCTTCCCCCTCATCACAACGGTAAGGACTGCCCGCGACCACCTGCACTATGTTCTGTCTTTTGCATGTAGGCTTCTGGATAGATTCGGGCAGATATCTCACGAGGTTGCATGTACGCCTGAGTGACTTGAAGTTGAAAGCCTCCAATCCGTGGTCAGATAGACCATTAAAATCCTATTCAACTGCTTCAAGTATGACTGGTTACGAAAGCTGCATGCAGTACAGTAGAACCTGTAACTAAAGACCACCGAGACTAGCGACCAGCCTGGTACTACAGACCACTTCGCCAGGCACGGACGGTCTCACATTCATTATGGTTGTGCGGTGCAAACATCTAACTAAGGACCACCTGCCACTAAAGACCACTTTCTCTGGGCCTAAGGGGTGGTCGGTAGTCACAGGTTTTACTGTACTTGATACAGATAGCCCAAGTGCATGTGCTGGATTCTAGCATGTGTTGGATTCTAGCATGCACTGGATTCTAGCATGTGCCTTTTAGACCAGAGGTCCACAAAGCACCACACTATCAAGAGTATAATAAGCGCACACACGAAATGCCTGCACTTGAAGAAAGCCCCTCTCGTGGTTCTGGGTGGTGCGCTTGCTCGATTTTACACTGCATGCGCTCTTGTGTGTGTGTGTGTGTGTGTGTGTGTGTGTGTGTGTGTGTGTGTGTGTGTGTGTGTGTGTGTGTGTGTGTGTGTGTGTGTGTGTGTGTGTGTGTGTGTGTGTGTGTGTGTGTGTGTGTGTGTGTGTGTGTGTGTGTGTGTGTGTGTGTGTGTGTGTGTGTGTGTGTGTGTGTGTGTGTGTGTGTGTGTGTGTGTGTGTGTGTGTGTGTGTGTGTGTGTGTGTGTGTGTGTGTGTGTGTCATACTGGCCAACCCTCCCGTTTTTCCCGGGAAAATCCCGGAAAATCAACACTCCTCCCGGGGTCCCGGGGATTTCAAGCAAACTCCCGGAAAAACCAAAGTTTTGTCTGATACAGGATTTTCTCTGAAAACTCCATGGTTTCTGCCCGAATGTCCCGGTTTTTTGAACTTTTTTCAAAGGTATGTACGGTGCTCATTCGCACTTCGAACTGTGCACAGCACTTTGAAGACCTTTGCAAGATCTGCACTGACAAATATAAGTGACAGGCGGGCGCCGACTGATCAAACTGTACTACAGCCTAGGGTCGATCTGTGCTGTACGCACAGCTGCAGAGTCGAACGTTTTTTGGCGGGAAAAGCTCTTTTTCACTTGTTTTTGTGCCATCCAGGGATTTTGAGAGAAATCCAGGGATTCTGCATGTCTTGTCAAGGGATTGAGATTGTGGTGGTTGGTCAGTATGGTGTGTGTGTGTGTGTGTGTGTGTGTGTGTGTGTGTGTGCGTGCGTGCGTGTGCATGTGTGTGTGTGTGTGTGTGTGTGTGTGTGTGTGTGTGTGTGTGTGTGTGTGTGTGTGTGGTGAGCCCATAAGTGGGATCATTTCCCAAGTCCACCCATAGTTTGGGGATTTCAGGGGGTGTCGGCCGTTGGGCGGTTCAATAGTCAATTGAGTCATCTTTCCAAGATTCCTTTTGAGTCTCTCGCCCCTCTCCCCGGGGAGACCCACGCAACCAGTTTTGGCAGTGAGCAAGTACAAGTGTATGTGTATGTATGTGTGCTGCTTGACATTCTGAATGGCAGGGTCCTGGTCTGGTGGGTGCTGTGGTTGGTATCATCTTCTTTGGAGAAATCAAGGTACGGTGCGAATGGAAGCTCTACAGTGCATTTCAAAACTATAGACGCGTAGGGTTTTTGATATATTTCAAATTTGGCTGGAACTTTTTGAGAATAGTTTTCGGAATATTGCTCAGGATCGCTCCACAATTACTCTCATATAGTTTCTAAAGGATTGGATAACAGACGCCCAATTTGGAAAAATTTATGCACAAAGTGATCACAGATTTTATGTGGTATAGATGCTGGCATACCGGTTTTTGCCTAGGTACGCGTCTATAGTTTTGAAATGGACTGTAAATGTCTCAATAGATAGTGATTATGTTTAGTGACCATAATTGCATGCTGCGCAGAAAACGATTACAGTGAAGCCTGTCATGGCGACCGCTCACATAAGAGGCGACCACCTGTCCCAGAAGACCACTAAAACCAGGACCAAGGGATGCTATTTCCGGTCAAATGACCCTGGATAATGAGACCACCTGTTAACAGAGACCACATTTTGAAGATCCCTTGAGCGGCAGCCTTAGACAGGTTTCACTGTAGTACAAACAGCTAGTGTTTCGGTGTACGAGTAGGTCCCAATGCTTGTTGGGGTTGTTGGAGTGGCTCGTGTCATGACTAGCCTCTCTAAGGGTCGGTTCGTATGTGTATATCGCGGGTACACACCGCGACCGGGGCTGGGAATGCCCCCTGCAACCTCTCACAGCGGATGGCGGCTATGTGAACCATTGCCATGCGTACCAGCACAGCACCTCCTATGCACACCCATGAAATGGAGGCGGTGGCGGCAGGGCGCTCTTCTTGCCTACGCTACAACGGTACATGTACAGAGGTTATGCGATTACGTCACCAGTTGAGATGCTTTGGCGAAGCCACAGACTCGCGGCACAGCGTTGCCTTTGCACTAGCTACTCGCTCTGCATACAATAGCGCCCACAAGCAGTTCCGCTGTACATGTGTACTTAGCTCCCATAAGCGACTCTGCTGACTCACGCGGTATGCTTAGCGGCCATAAGTGGTTTCGCTGACTCACCCCACTGAAATCATTCGCATAACCTCTATAGATGGTGACAGAGTCTGGAGGTCCTGTAGCTCATGCAGTGAGCTGCGTGTTTGTCTGTGGTTTGGCTCTGCAGGGCAAGCGCAATTTCGTCTTCCTGGGCTGTGCATTCCTGATGACCATCATCGGGGTGGCGCAAGTGGCCGTCTCCAAGATTGTCCATGTGTAAGAGAGAAATCATCGTTGGGCTGGCTGTGTGTTTGCAGAGGGTGAATGCTAGCCAAGCCCAGCACCTCATCCTCTTTTCCTCTTTAGGCTCATGTCTGAAGAGGGTCACTATTATTTCGTTGTCGTCAAGCGTATAGAACGAACTGTTTCACTTCGTGGATTAGTATGTCAGATTCCGGGGCACTTGCCGCAGTGTGTCCCATTGCTAGTCACCCTACACTCTCACCCGCACCCTTAGGCACGTGTTTCCTCTTAGCTCACAGCACGCACACCCTGCACGCACACCCTGCACGCACACCCTGCACGCACACACCCACAGAATATGGATGGATAGTGTCTCATCCGCTTTGCCTTGGCAGCTGGTCTGCCTAGGGCGCCTGTATCCGGGTTTTTTCTCTCCTGATATATTTCTTGATGTATTTATATGTGCATGTAGGATGGTCGCGAGCGACTTATAGAGCATTTCACGTATTCCATTCTCTAGTTTACTTGGCTGTTTATCTTCTCTTTTTTTCTTTTTTTAAATATTGGGCTAACTATAGCCCATATAATATTATTATTTTGATGAACATTCTGATCGAATTCTTATCTTGGATTCGCCTAAATTATTATTAGTTTCGGAACGCCTTCTTATGTCTTTATTTTCGACTGCTTTCATATTCATATTCATTTCTTACCGCGCATACCGATGCTTCATCACTTTCTGCCTTTTTCTGGATTTCCTGTTGGAGCACGCGAAGTAACATCTGTGTAGTTTGGAAGGCCACTGCACTGTTACATGTACAGAACAACCTGGTGTAAGCGACCTCTCGTTTTAGCGACCACCTGCTCTTAGCGACCGTTTTTCCATGCACGGACAGTTTTATTTTATTATTGGGAACACAGCCCTACAAAGAGACATGTGGAGACAAACACAAAACAAGCCACAGGGGATGTAGGATGTAGGGACGACGTGCCGATGTACAGGGAGCTACACTGAGACACTGTGGGACCTGGTTCTAAAGACCACCTGGCTTGTTTCAGTGATCACGCAGTGGGTATTACCCGCCACCGGGCAGCTCTTCCACTGCTTGGGCGTACATGTACACAGTACTGTCGTTCGCCGAAGAACTGGGGGGGGGGGGGGGGGGGGGGGGTGTCAGCCTCCTAGCCTAGACCGTTCTTATTTTCATGTACTACGGTCTATGCACATTTGTGTCACCATACATAGGTGGTATGCTGTGCTTGGTGAAATTCTAGGCTGGTTGTTCTTCAGCGTCCGACAGGCGCGTACTTGACACGCGCGATCGGACTTTGTCGAGCAGCATTGTACTGTAGATATCTATCTGAGTTGCATGGCATCCAGTTTCCACTTGATCATTGGATATGCTCTACAGTTCCCTTTACTGGAGTTCTTGGCTTGAGCTCCTAAAATGTTCTCAGAGTTGGCATACAATGTTGCAGAAACGTGACTGTTAAGGCCACAGGACACTGAAGTGACGATCAGATATACCGTATTTCCGCAAATAAAAGGCCGTCCTCGTATACAACGCCTTCCTCGTATACAAGACCGGGGCAGGGGGCGATTGAAAAAATAAAAGACCGTCTCCGATCAGGCTGTCATCACACCATGGTACAATTACAAAGCGCTGCGTCTACGTCCACGTAAGGAGTTTTTGGTCGGTTGTCATGATGATCCGTATACGGGGTGAAAACGGGAGCAGAGGAAACGGGAGACGTAGACGTGGTATGGAGAGGGGGGGTATACGACTTTTTGTATGAACGTGCGTATCTCCCCCAGCCTTTTTCCGAGCGACCCTGTACTTCGATGTACGCACCTCCACCAGCACCACAGAGCGCACCCTGAATCTTGCTGCTGAAAAGGGCGCCTCCAGCTGGTTGACCTGTCGGCCCCTTCGTCAGTATGGTTTCAACCAGGGAGTAGTAAAATACAGGGAGGTGACACGAGCATGTACGGCCAGTTTGACGATTGCCTCAGCACCGTTTTCACCCGGCGGGTGAGATTGGGGTACTATGGGTACCGAAGTGTGTAGACACGCGCGCGGATCAGGATTCTCTTGATCAGGGAGTAGTAAAATACCTACCGCCAAAGGGACTCATACTGCAGCCCGTAGAAACTCAGCGCTGAGAATTTCCAACAATTGTCTGCCTTCACAAAGTTTGGTAGTCGACCAAACTACCACTATGTCAGGATAGAAGTCCAGCAAGAGTGGTATCACTTTGGGAGATATCCCTGCGTGCCGTAGATTTTTCCTGTATCGATACAAGCTGTTTACGACGACGTAGCCCGCATTTCAATCCTTGACAAACTTTCATTCCGAAAAGTGAACTCCCGAATCTCTAGCATACCATAATATGAAATGCTCATCATCACAAAGAAGGTAGAGAAGTACTGGTTGATCACAACTGAGGAGAAATTAGTGCCGATCATGTGGTGTCCTAGAGATTTTTTCGACTTCGAAATCGGTGCACTCGCTTTTCATCTCCAATCGTACACGTATTGTTCTCAAGGAAATCACCTTCGTTCTATTGCTCCATGCCGTCGATCGGGACGAATTTCGGAAGGGTGGTACCTTTCCATATGACGATGACACAGATGTATCACAAGAGCAAAACAAATGCTGTTCTATGAGATGGATAGACCTTTTCACGGAATTAGTTCTTCAATAAATACTCAAGATTGATTCAGCAGATCATCTTTTTTGCGAAAGAAAAAAAAACAAGCGCGAGGCACCCATCAAAAATCACGATTAGTGGCGTGTCACCTCCCTGTATTTTACTACTCCCTGGTTTCAACCTACACAAGCAGGCGTTCTGGGACGCTCTCTGCCTACGGTATGGTTGGACCCCTCCAGGCCTGCCAACAGAATGTGTGTGCGGCAAAGCGTTTTCACCGGAACACGCGCTGTCTTGCCCAACTGGTGGCTACCCCGCCATGCGGCATAATGACCTTCGGGATCTCACCGCATCTCTCCTGCGTGAAGTGGCCCATGATGTCCAGGTCGAGCCACATCTCCAGCCGCTAACCGGTGAGACATTCCGTCACCGCTCCGCCATCTCCGAGGACGGTGCCCGCCTGGATGTGGCCGCATCGGGTGTCTGGGGTGGACGTTTCGAACGGGCACTACTGGACATCCGGGTATTCAACCCGCACGCCCGCTCCAACCGCCAACAGTCCATCACAGCCACCTACCGGAAGCATGAGGCCGAGAAAAGGCGCGCGTACGAAGAACGCGTCCGGGAAGTTGAACACGCGTCTTTTTCTCCCATTGTGTTTAGCGCTTCCGGCGGCTACGGCAAGTCCGCCTCCGCTTTTTTCAAGCGTGTCGCCTCTATGCTCGCCGACAAGAGAAAGGAGCCCTTCTCCTCACTTCTTGCCTTTATTAGGTCAAGGGTTTCCTTTTCTCTTGTTCGTGCCTCCAATGCCAGCCTCCGTGGTCACCGCAGGCCACGGTCTCAAGATGCCCGCCAGAGAGTCATTGACTCTGATGCTTCTGTGGTCCTTGCTGCTGCAGAGTGCTTTCGGTAACTATCCGTGGTGTGTTTGGCTACTGTTCTGCTTCAGTACCCCCCCCCCCCCACTTTTTCATGATTTTGCATGTTATCGTTTTCTCGGATTCCGGTTTTCCACTCTGTTATGTTCGAATCCATAGTCTGTTTAGTTTGTACACGATTTGTACGCAACTTCTCATTGTTTGTTTTTTGTTTTTGTTTTTTTTTACCAGGCGTGGGCCATCCCCTGATCATAGGTGCCAAAGACTACATTTCAGATCAAAAAAAAAAAAAAAAAACTTCGATGTACGCGGGTTCAAATTTCTCCAAAAACCTGACTGCGTGTACGCGTCAAGAGCTGTGCTTGTCTGATGACACGACCATCCATTTTGGTTTTTTCACCATAGACGTAGACGTAAACGGGAGTCGGAGAACGTGGTGTGATGACGGCCTAAGAAGACCGGGCCTACTAAATGAGTCTCAAACTTGTGTTAAAAATAGAAGACCGTGCTCAAACTGTGGAAAAAAAAATAGAAGACTGTGCTCAAACTGTGTAGAAGAAAATGGAAGAATGGGGGTAAAACTGTGTGGCGAAAAATAGAAGACCGGGGTCAAACTGGGTTGAAAGAATAAAAGACCGTCCTCGATTACAAGACCATCCTCGATTATAAGGCCGGGTTAGGACGAGGTTGAAAAAATAGTAGACCGGCCTACTATTTGTGGAAATACGGTAACTGGGCTCGTGTATGCAGTGCATTCCTTGAAATAATGTTAGACCCTAAATAAAAATGGTTCATGTGCAAGGCTGGGAGTCGCATGTGAAAGGCCCACGGGCTACGGCGACTCCCCTGTTCCTCGTACTGTGCATTAGGGTCCGGCGGATTCTGCCGGCAGAAAAATTAATTGGCAGAATTCGGCACTTTTTCTGGTTAGTTTCATGCATGTTTGGTATGTGGATAAAAACAAATGGAGCAGAATTCGAGGAATTGCCCGCCACAAGGTTTGTATGGTTCTGCCAATTTCACTGCTTTTCGAGCAGAATCCGCCGGTCCCTACTGTGCTGCATCAAGAGTATAAATAAGCTCCCGGCCCTGGTGCTTATTTTACTCCCTGCTCCTGATACATGCCGCATGATGTAGAAAGCTGGACGATCTTAAGGTGGCTCCTACCCCTCGGGTCCAAATTTGTTTTGTTTGAAACGTGGCTACAAACGATTGTACTTTGTTCCGTAGGATATCTAGTGTACGGAGACAAAATTTTATCAAGTTCTACCGGCCGGTTTCACTCGGGGGAGGGGCCAAACATAGCATACTCACAATTGCCAATTTAGGCCAAAAAACACCGGAAAACCACTTTTTTGGCCGTAGCACTCGTAGTTACCCCATTTTTCTTGATGTCCAACATCAGGACAGTAGTATACTTGCTAAATACCAGCATAAGCTTTAGAAGTGGGTAGAATTCTGCTAGAAGGTGACCTTTTTCTCTTTTCGGAATCATCCCATTTCAGCGCACACGTCCCACATATTAGCCCCGCCCACAAGTATTTGACACTGGACTTGCCCTGTATTCGATGGTTATGCTATCATAACCTAATAATGGTACTGTGTAGCAAGTTTGAGCAGGTTCTACCGAAGGTAACTCTTGAAATAAAACTTTGAAGTGTCAAGTGATGCCATATTTTCAAGAATCAGCACATTGCACTGGGACATTGTCCAACGCCTTAGAACCCCTGACTCCACCATATGACAGATACGTATCTTGCAATAATTGATTGCAACATCTTCCGAACATAGTAGTAGAGCTTTGGATCAAGTTTTAGCAGTTTCCACCGAAGCTAACTACCAAAATAAAACTTTGAAGTCGCCCACATACTAAATGCAATAGCTGAGCATGTGCATTGAGTGTATGGTCTAAAGGTTTTCACAACTAGCTCCAATGCGGCAGATACGTGTCTTACATTACTTGATTGCAACATCTTCAGAACATAGTAGTAGAGCTTTGGATCAAGTTTTAGCAGTTTCCACCGAAGCTAACTACCGAAATAGAACTTTGAAGTCGCCCACATACTAAATGCCATAGCTGAGCATGTGTGTTGTGTGTATGGTCTAAAGGTTTTCACAACTAGCTCCAATGCGGCAGATACGTGTCTTACATTACTTGATTGCAACATCTTCAGAACATAGTAGCAGAGCTTTGGATCAAGTTTAGACAGTTTTTACCGAAGCTAACTACCAAAATAGAACTTTGAAGTCGCCCACATACTAAATGCCATACATGTAGCTGAG